ACAGTAAATTACAATAAGTTTTAATTGGATATAAACGAAAGTTCCCACAGTTCAGTTTTGTGAAACGACTTCTTGCCACAACGAAGGCAGATGGCCTACTTATACACACAACTCTTCTGTACCTATTGTACATTTTGCCGCAGGTACAGTTTGACCTCCGTGCAACAGAATACCCATCGTTGCAGGGATTTTAAAAAGTCTAGTCTGCTATCAATAACTAAATACTAGCTATCAATAAACAACCAAACATTTTTACAAGGTAGTCAAACGCCACTCTACCAAACTTTATTTCATTTGATTACTATCTGTGGCATTTCCTACGATAAAATTTATCGAATTACTCTTAGCCATGGTTACAAGCTTGCAAATGGACGTGGCATGGGAACGTTAGTAGAATTAACGTGTGAAACCTGCTCATGGTTACAAGCGATAGCTAATTTTCCATAAACCAAAGTACTTTTTTAAGTAACGAGACCTAGTAAAACATGTCTCTAAAACAGCAAGCTTCGAATGTGTGTTTGCGTTTGAATAAACAAAGAACATAAATTTTTTTCTATAATTGCTATTGTAGCGTTGTCATTAATTGAATTGTTTAAACAGCTTGGCAACAGCAATTATAATTTGAGCTTTCTTATTTGGACTGCATAAATTGTTAGGAAAGAAAAAGGGTCTTAACAGTGTTCAAAGCAAGCGGACGATAGAAATGGGCAAAAAGCTGTGACTTAGAACAACCTACTCTAGTGTCTCTAATAGACGCCCCCCCCCCGTGTATTAATTTCAGAAGAATTTGCCCTCCCTACCGTCGCTTATTAGCACCCCCTTCTATTAAATTTTACAAATCGAGTCGGTGATTTTCGACTTGGAAGTTAGAAGCTGTAAATTTGATTTATCTTTGTATGATTGCAATTTTGTATGATTGCAAACTATGCAAGAAACTAAAACCAAATTTTGACAGTATATTCTAAAAGGTACTTTGATTTCAAAGAAGGATTGCCGACATGAACACCCCCTTCTATTAGCACCCCCTTCTATTGAAAACTGGTCGACATGAACACCCCCCTTCTATTAGCACTCCCCTTCTATTGAAAATTGGTCGGAATGAACATCCCCCTTATATTACCTCCCTCATCTATTAGAGACACTAGAGTAGTAGGCCATTGGGTAAGAATACTAAAATATTTTTTTGACATTCGAAATGAGGCGCAATATTCCCCAAAGTGAGGTATACCATTTAAACACAAACATTACTTTTTGACTGACTGGTTAAGTAAAATTAAATAAAAACAGAAACTTAAGGTAGACAAGGCAGCATCCATTCTCCCAAACAAATTGGCTCCACTATGAAACTGTAAAAGTGACCTGACAGTGACACACCTTTTGTACCTTTTGTACCAAACCTGGCCAAAGTTCATCATCACGCCGAAAACGCGGCACTCGCATTTAATCCTGACTAAAGACTCAAAGAAAAAATTTCTATAAAATGGCTAGAAAAGGGCTTTGGCAGTATGGTATGAAAGCGCCAATTCAGGATGAAGTAGACTACATTTGTGGTGTGGCATTGCGCTTAGAATTCAGCTTAAACTGCATCTTCGAACAAATATCCTCAAATTATCTCCACCATTCTTTCTTATCATAATGCTTTCCGGCAGCTAACCGGCAAAAGCCCTGTAAAATCAATCATCTTATCCATTTGGATTTAAGTATCTATGTTTCATATACTGCCGAAATTCTTTCGCAAAAGACTCGTTTCTAACCTCCACAAATAGTATGCATAGCTGATTTTATAAAAGAAAAAAAAGCTCGCAGAGCAGACAATAAAAGAGAATTTGGACAGGCACGTGGCATGCCTTAGAATTACAAATATATTTCTTTATTCTTTCCCGTGAAGACATTCTAGACAGGTTGTTACATAATAACGTTTAACTAGATCTTAAGAAGATCAATGATCACAATGACTTTGCTGACGTAACGGGCTAGCCCTTGAAAACAATTTTGGTACTAAGTTTTAGCTTTCTTGCCATTTTCTTCGACATACTAAGAAAACTCATTGCTCCATCATTTACAAACGAAACTAAACTCCAAGAATACTGGCCTCTAATGCCACTTGATTTGCTCAAAGTCGGCCTTTTTACAAAGATTTTTCTTTAACGCAAATTGGGAGGCCAAATCTCCGCTGAACCAAATATAAATCGAAATAGAACCAAACGTTAGATGGCTATCGTGTCTCCCCTAACGTTACGATAGCAATTACCAAAAGAGCACTTGCGGCCATTTTTTGAGTTTCGACAGAACGCCAGACGTTGGTGCCTTTTCATTTCGCAATTAAAATGGCGACAATATCACACGAAAACGCTAAAACGATAATTTGTGGTAACTTAAAGGATACTATAAATTCTCTTAAAAAGCCCAAGAAAATTCATTACAGTGATTATATCTGACACTGACTCCCATGAACACGCGAGCCAAAGACCCATTAACACTTCTTAGGTAATTTATCAAAATAGAAACAAATAAAATTGACATCAAGGTGTCCGTTGAAAAATTTTAACTACTTAACAAACTTTAGTTGATAAAATTAACTGGTTGTTATAAACAACTAACAAAATAGTTATTGGGTTAAAATTATCCATGATAGTCTGCAAATTATGCTTCAATGTTGAGAAGGGCACATGAAGGAAGGGACACTGAGTTTCAGACAAGAAGCCCGTTTTTCCAAATTTTGGGGGGCATGATCCTAGCTAGCTCCCCCAGTTTCTTCCTCCAATCCTCCCTGCCAGTAATTGACCAAGTCTAAAAACACATACACTCTTTTTTTTATGAGAACAATTTTATAAGAACACGAGCCTCAAAACTGGTCGAAAGTTAAGAACAAATTAAGAACAAGCTGAGGCTGAGCTACTGCAAAATGCAATTTTGAACAACGTTTTTTCTCAAAATCGAGGATTTTTAGCGATGTGTGGGTGCTTTTTCGGTGAATATTCAAATTTGTCAGCAAATTAAGGTTGTCTCACTCACTTTGTTGGCAAATGAGGCCTGAACACCTCCTTAGAGCGAAAAAGCTAGCAATCGCACTGCTTACACCCTCTTAATTTAAAAACAAATTAAGAACAATCCAGCCTCCGATTTTCGAAAAAATCAAGAACAGTCAGCCTGAACTCAAATTTACTGGTTCTTATAAAAAAAGAGTGTACATGGAAAATGATAGACACAGGTTATAATGTCTATATTTCTAAATGTTTTAAGTTCAAGCCCATCGCGGGTACTCAAAATCTCAAATCTGAAATGCTTCCTAGAAAACTGATCAAACCCGGCAGTCCTTGCCAATTCACATAACTTCCCGACAAAACGCTACTTGAAGCAATAACGTTGTGCGAGAGGGTGCGTTTTCCAAAACTTACTCCCCTTATCTCCGTCAATGAGTAAGGGCTAAAACCAAAGAGGAAATACTGCTCTAAAGATGCCACGTCAATATGTGATTTAGTAAATAAACATACCTTGCTGTACGATATGAGTAATTGCTTAAGAAAGATTTTAACCAAACCTACACTGTCTTTATCAAAGAAAGATGGTTTGCGAGAAAAGCCTCACCCAACAGCTGACAAAAATCCCGATTTCCGCTTGAAGAAAAGATTTAAAAGATTATTCAGCTGTGAAACAGACTCTTCATTAAAAAAGCCAGATTCATATATTGATAAAATGAAATTTCTTAATTCACACAGGACATAATAGATTGCCATGAATACGATTCGGACGATTGATGCAGAAGGATGAGGCATATCTTGTCAATCTTGTCAATGAAAATAAACCAGAAATAGAGACTTGATGATGTCTAAGCTTGCTATTCAAGGATTCGCGTGGTTGTTGTTTGTAGCGTTTCCGACATGTCAATATTGTTTAGGAAAAATTTGAGGCTACATGAAAAATAGTTTAAGGCATGCAGAGATCAATTCTAATAGCTTCTATTTACATAACTTTCTGATTTACGGAAATTCGCGACCTTCTCAAAGCTAAACACAATTTTTTTTCAAAGAGACATGCTCGTGCGAAATTCTCCACATCATGGTTTAAGAAGGCAAAAGTTGGCAACGAAAAGGTGACAATCGTATTCTCTCATGAATGTTTATGAAAACAGGTTCGTAATAAAAACGGTGACTTTTCGCTTAACACCTTTGGAAAAATCTTCAAAAATATTTGCATAGAATGGATGATTACAAACAGATTAATCACATATTGTTTGGAAACCTGCAGAACAGATATCAAACCAAATTCGATAAATATTATCACCAAACAATTTTCTTATCCTTATTAATTGCAAAACAATAGAAAAAAAACAATCACCTCTTATATAGGAGGAGTCAATTTCCCAAAGCTCAAGTTTTGCATTAAGCTTCAAATAATATAGAATATCGCAAAAAGTATATGTGGCAATGCAATTGCAGATCTATCATATTTTAGTTAAAGAGTTTTAATTAACCGCCCCCTCCCCCCACCCCAATTATTGCTCGGAAAACAAAACTAGCTAACGTAAAAACAGCAAAAGATGAGTCAAGTACACCTATTTTTGTGCGAGACGATGCAAATTCTAGGTACACGAGTTTCTTAACTTTTTACCAAATTTTGGTAGAAAAAGTTCTTCATCTAAATTCTTTGTTTACCACACCCAGTGGCTATATAAAGCTCATATCTTTTAATTTTATCTCATATCGTTGTCGTATCTTTTATCAAAGAGACAAGTGTCTCCGGGGTTAATATCTTGCTGTCTTTAAAGCTTTTCTCCGAACTCTGGTTTGCTTTTTTCATCAAAGAGGAGGAATTTACTTTCTCCTTCAATCAAAATAATTCATTTTCAATGTTAATGAAAAATAATAATTGCTGACATAAAACGCATAAGAAGATCGGTTGCAAATGTGAAGAAATTAAATGCAGGTGTTGGTATTCCTCAATCTATTCCCGTTCTTTGTTGGAAGATACTCAGAAAACTTTACGCAGAACTCTCAGGCATCAGTTGCCTTCTTACTTTGGCTATTACGTCACTTCGAGAAATGGCCCGTTTTATCATATGATTACAAGTACTCTTTGGAAATTTGAGTTTCTTAAGATGTTCACGTGTGGGTATAGACAAATCTTTGTTTAAAGGGGCAGGAATCGTTTGAACAATCACGCCCACACAATCAAAAATGAAATCAAATGCCAAATGAACAGCAAATCTTGGTTTTTTTGTTTCATGATGGTTCGAAACGAGAGGTTTCCAATCACGCGGACAAATTTAATGGTTCGTTTCCAGCCATAAAGGAAAAGTCTCTCAAAGAATACAATACCGACAAAGTATGACCACCTCATGCTATTTTGAGCTTCAAGCACTTAAATAGGTGTAAACTTGATCCATGAAATACAATACTGTTTGGGAATAACCCTGTACCTTTGAGTAAAAGAAATATACCTGGGCTTAAAACATAAGGCAGTGCAAACAATGTGTCTCCAAATGATCTTGGCATTTATAAAATGCATACTATTACCACTGAGTACTCAGTAAGTTATGCAGCCTGCAAATTTCGAAGAGTCTATCACAAGCCAACTTGCAATTAACAAAATTGCTAGCACTATTCAATTGACACTTCCAGTAGATTTGCTAACAGAGGTCGGGGCAAAACTCCGACTAGAGATGATAATATACAAGGTGAAAGCAATTAGAATAACTGAATTTGCCCGGCTAACAATTTCTCATGATAATAGGGTCGGCAGCTTCACTTTGTAACAAGAGAATTTTCTAGGAAACACGTTGACCCCTTGGTGATTCTGAGAAAAAAATCTTTCATAAAGCATATGAAATCTTGACAAAAAATTAACTTGAAAGTATACTGACCATAACTGATATAAAATCTTTCATTTCCACGACTTCAAGATTATAGTTTTGCTGAAGGCAGTCACATCTTTTAAAGTTGGTAATATTCGTCGCACCAGCTACTTGCGCGTGTTGTTCCCACGAACTCGCAATACACAATGAGTTTGGACAGGTGAAGCTCCTCCTTGAGGGCTACCATTAGTCATGACACTGCGGTTTATGCACACATAACAGGATGTAATTTGATCGTAGCAAATAAAAAAGTTAAAAGGGCAGATCATTTCAATTGCTGTTTAAAATCTCATCAATTCGACAGCACAATACTAGCTCTGAGGGACAATATAAGCGACCGGACAAGCTACGAGACCAGCCAACCGCAGAGTGGACGAAGAAAAAAGGCAATTCACTCACGGTCTTTGCAGAATAAAACGCACTAATGGCAATAACAAACCGAGTAATGGTGTCATGAAAAACGCCCTCAGGCTAGAAAGATGAGCTGAGATGCAGAGAAAATCCGCAGATTTCGAAAGTTCAGGTCAGCGAGCATAAAAAACTGGGGTCAACACCTTGGGGGTAACAGAACTTGACTCCCGGTACAGTATGATACCGTACCTGTGGAAGATAAAAACGCATGTAAAACGCAATTATTTCTTGCCACTAGATATATTCACAACACCAAGCTGATAGCTGAAAGGAGTAACATGCTTAAAAAGGCAAACAATGTTTTTTAATCTGAATATTTAAAAGAAAAAAGGCAAAATCAATTCACATGGGCGTGCTTGTGTCCTATCCCTAAAGGTCAAAGACTTCGAACTTCCATGATTCCTGGCCACAATGCTGAGACGATCATAAAACCCTAGTAACATATAATCTGCCAGGAGCGGTGCCAGCCAATAGGCTGTGAGGTCACAAAATATAAAAATTTTATGCCACGTTCTTTTATCAGGAAGAAAGCGCCTTTTCACCAACAGGGAAGGCCACTTTTACCATTAGAAAATGCCCACCACTGATTTTGACCTCATAAAGAATCTTTGCCCAAATATAACCACTCCCCCAACATTTTCTCGCCGAATTAGGCGAAATACAAAATAGACATTGCCAAGAATCAGGGAACGTGTTCTCCCAGTTGGCGCCGCCAATTTTATCCACCCCTTTTCCCCAATGTAATAATAGAGGAATTTGTCACTATAGGCATACCTTCTTATTCTAAGCCTACGGGCAATCCAGGGACAGAAAGCTGTCTTCCCTAGGGATTTTTTGCATAGTATGGTCTGTCTTTTCAGGATAATAATTGTCGGCAATATATAGGACAGCTTACGCAGAATTTTTTATTCTGATCAGGAAATATTTTCGATAAGGCAAAAAATCTAGGCAATGTGTAGGAGATTAAAGATATTGCTTCTAATGGTCTCACAAAACTAAATCGTTTTGGGCAAAAGATTAAAGCTGAATCTTGGCTTGACCAATGTGTCCATTTATAGATCAATGGAAAAATTTATAATCAGTTTGTCTACTTCATGTATCAGAAACCACGTGGAGTTGGCCAGGAGCTAGTTAGCCATTATGAAAAAATTATCATTCAAAATATTTTATTACTTTAGTACTTATCGTTTCTCCGTTTTTGCTCAAGCTTTACACTCACACCACATTTACAAACGGCATTTTAAATAAATAAAGATAAAATAAGTCTTTGTTACTTCCTCAAAACCACCCGAACAAAAAAAAAGGTAAACTAAAATTATTGAACTTGTTTTCCTAAATACATTGCATTTGAATAATTCTATTAAAATTTTTTCCCAGACTTTTATTAAGTTATCCAGTACGACAACTTTTATTTTCTGAAAAGTTATTCATTATGCATATCTCGTCTGACCTGATAAAAAACACGTGGACATTTAACGGTGATCGTTTTGATGAGGGTAACCCAGCCCCCACACCCCCTGCTAGGTATTATATTTGTGGTTTAGGTTGGAAAAGGCTGTTTCATCACGGTGCGTATGACTCCAATGGAAAATTTAAAACAAAATTAAGTAAATTAAAACGAATTCATAAACAGTTTTGAATCGCTGGCTTGGTCGAAGCAGCCTCTGTTCTGCGAAATCTTCACGTTAAATTAACGGACATTCAGAGATAAAATTAAGCTTCCTTGATTTTATGCTGTACATGTGTTCCGGTTTTATATCGATGCTAGGAATAACCCGGAATGTCTAGCCATGTGAGAGCACCATACCAGACACACATGGACAGAGACACTTTAATTGCAATGGTAAATTGTCCAAATTCCACTCGAGATGTTTTGGCCTTGCCACATTAGTAATTGGTTTTTGTAATGGGCAATTGAAAGTAAGTACTGAAGTAGCTGGATATGAGACAAAAAACTGTGGGCAAACACTTCAGAAATCTACATAAAAAAACCAACATAGAGAAATAAAAAAATTCGTCGAAAATTGCATCCCGTTTCTAAATAAGGGGCAATTTTCGCCACTGAGTATTTCCATTTGCTATTAACCGTATCTATTTTACCGGGTCAGTGTCAAATACTACCTTTTACAACACGGCAAATCTTTCCCAATCCCATCGCCCCTTTTTCCCCTGGTTCAAGCATACCTGTGACGTGCATTGCTGCTGCTTAGCACTGTATCTGCTGTTTCAGAATAATGTGTGCGCTCAGGATTAGAAAACGAAAGTGTAGTTAGCTTTTAAATTACGAGCGTCTAAAAATTCATAATGCTTCTAGACTTAAAAGTGAAAAGACAGCGCGTTCACAAAAAGTGCTCTCTCCAATAAAAAGTGGACGCCCTGTACCGTAAATCCTCAGGGATGCAGGCAAAGTCGGCGAGGGGAGGGGGTTGAATAAAGTAATTTTTTTTTAATTAAAATAGAGAAAATAAGCATCTGATCGTCTTAAAAAATTATTTAGATCCTATTTTTCAAAGAAACCTTTTAGAGAAGGTATGGCTTTTTAATTATTTGTCATTAGGAACGACTCTTGAAAAGGTAAGGATAAAAAAGCAGAATATGCACACACTACCCTCCCACGTCCATCATACCCATCTCTAAATTCTACATTGGAATTTGAAAAATTTGTTGATCAATACACCCAGAAGGATTTTAATCAAAACCACAAAGCAATATGATAATGGCTTCCCAGTAAAATAATAATTACCCATTAATTTGCCTTTAAAGTACTTTTGCAATAGAAAACTAACATAGCGTTTTGTCTAACATAATTTAATCCTCCAAAATAACCATTCCATCATCGGCAAATTTGCAAACTAAGCGTATCAATTGACATCAATTGAAAGAGAGAACCTCTCCGCATCTTCTGTAGCGAAAATATTTATGCTATCGTTGCTACGTGGTGAGGTGGTCCACAAAAAATAGCAAGCGTATGTATATTTTTCTGTTGCCAGGTACACGTAGTATCTGGGTAGCCAATTAACGCATTTAAACCTCATTGAAGAAATTTGGACGATGCTCTGCAAAACTCTGTGAGAAACATGTTCTCCCTGCTTTCCTCTGGTTAATTTCTGCTATACATCAAATAACTTTATGAATAGCTCTGGAAATCCTTTTGTTTTAGTGAAAATATCGCACGCTTTTGGCAAGAGTGAATTTTCCCTCGCAATAAGCCATTTCCATGCTCAAATAAGCCAATTCGTCATTGTTATGTAGAGCTTTGCTAGCTAGTTACATTTGTCTCCAGCTAGTTACACCCTTAACATTAGTTCACAGGCACCGCGGAGCACTTTAGCCCCCCCCCCACTTTTTGCAAAAAATGCCAAATATTAAGTATCAAACTACCAGAAAAGCCTCTTTTTATACAGTTTTAGCCCCCCCACTTTTCTCAACGCTACGCGGTGCCTAGCCATGTAGTTGACTCAGGTTCATGGTCTGGCCAGCTAAGTGTTGAAGAGCTAGGGCGGTAACAGTCCGCAAAAGTTCTTAGGTTTTTATAAGAATTAAATTATTAGTATAAACCACTAAGTATGGCCTTACAGAATGGCGTATAAGACACTTTCTATTCAAATGCAGCATTCCAGGTGATTTATTGTTACTTCTCATTCCACTGTATCGCTTAAACTAGCAATAATGGAAAGCAAATGATGTAACCTCAGTCGTTTCGATCAATTTAGCGAAAAAGTTTATCACACAATTAGATAGCATTATTACATGCAAATTAAAAACAAGTCTAATGATTACATTACGAAATGAAAACAAAATTTAATTGATTAATTTCTCCTCATTAATCCAGTTTAAGACCCATACAGTGTCACTGCCGTTGCATCAGTATTTCTCAGACGTCAGAGATCAATGAAAAACAAACCTTAAAATTCCACAACAAAATGGCAGCCTGGGACTAACAAAGGCTAGGAACAGTCCATTCTGCAGCTAAAAGGAGGGTTTTGTCGAAAGATGGGGCCAAGCTGTAAATTTATAGGATTGTGACTCATGCATCATGCCCTTTTTTTATAGCCTGTGTCCCAGACCCCTAACTTGAACGTTTACTTTCTTTGATTTACTTTCAAGTTAGGGGTCCGGAGCACAGTCTCCTTTTACAAAGCGTGCCAATTGTCTTTTTGCTGCAAAATGTAAAATTTTGATTCAAAAAAGAGAATGCTGTATGGAGATGTTGCATTATGATTATCAGTTTCTGCAACAATATTTAACGGCAAATTACTGATATTCACTAACAATGACAAAACTAAGATTTTTTCGCATAAAAATTAGCATATGACGTGCAAAACCAGCGTGAAATGCGACTAATTCTTACCTCTTTAAAAACGGTTGGACCCAAGGGGTCACTTTAAGAAATCGTGCTGAGGACATAGAGACTTGAAGAGCTGCAGCCCCCTCCCCCCCCCCCTAATCAGGCTAAATTCATCGCATTTCAGGGGCTCCTTTCAGGCACTCTCTTTTAAAAATATCCAACACAAACGAAATGATAGATTTTGACAATGTAGCTTTAGAATAGATAATCAAAGAGTTTCAATGAACAGTTTCCTCATTAGAAAATACCAACCAGAAAACACCTACCAAAACTCGAACTTAAAATTTTTTCTCGCAACCCAAAACCTGTGAACCATTTTGATTCATTGAACCATTTTGGTAAATATTCCTTTATTTTCTATAAAGGCGACTCAGAACCAACCTGAACAATACGACAAATGTTTTTCAACTAGTGCACTTTGCTCACATCTAACCTTGTTATAATACCGACTAGATCGATGACGCGAGGACATAAATTGTTAGATATCAAAAGAGGCAAAATATATCTGTTATGCAAATAAGATTACCTATTCGCTTAAAACTTCGATGTCAGGTTGTGTGGCTTATTGGCACGTTTTTATGGAAGAATTTAGGTACTTATAAGAAAAAGCAAAACACGTCTTTAGAATTCAGAACTTAATCTTGTAGAGTTGATTTTATCTTGTTAGACGATTTATCGACTAAAGGGGGACCTCGTACCCAATTCGCTTTGACAACATAGGGGCGAGGCCCCGAAGGTAATTGAAAAAGACATATTAGAAACATGAGTCAGTGTTTTTCACTTGAAAAGTATTGTAAACAGTATGATTCGATATGACTAAGACAAAGCTGATGCAAACAAAGATTAGGCATCAAAACATAACGGTCCGCATTCGAAAACAACCCAAGAAAACTATTTCGATGTAGAATGTAATTCTAAGACTGCGGTTTATTATAAGCTGTTTTTGATAAAGAGGGCCAAAACACACGAATCTTTTCATCTGAATTTAATACGACTAGAAACTTTGCGTACTGTCAGACATATCCAGCTATTTTTCTTTTTTCCATGCAATCCTTTTAAAGATTTTGCGCTCACAAGCCAATCCGCTTTTAGTGGACGCCTTTTCAAAATTTTATAACAATTCCACAAGCGAAGATAGCGTGCCGTTATATCTAATTAAGGTTCCGAATTTGTGAAATTTAGAAATTAAAAAAGAATAATAGAGGCTGATTTAGAAAAGGGGCACTCGGGATAGGCTCTAGAAACATTAGAAGAATAGAAACACCTTCGATGTTCGTAAAAGCGGCACGTATTGCCTGAGAAGTAATCAAAATTTTATAGCAACGTGTCCTGCTTTGCGACGAGTGAAAATTCAATCGAAAGCATTCGACGTGCAAATGCAATATAAATGTTGGTTTTGACCTACGTCAAAAATTGTTTACTTCTGGGTTTGTTACGTTTTTCTACAATTCTCGGTATGAACACAGCGAGGAATGGAATTTTGGATGAAACACGCAAAGGAAAATGCGACAAAGAAGAGCTTAGGTGGGATTGGAAACAGTCCAAAATTAGTACATGAAGAATGATCCAGGCCTAAAGTCGACAATACACAACGAATTTTCGTTGGCTTAAGAAAACCCACGTGGTTTAAATTGGCATTAGGAAGAATTGATAAATAGAACAATTGAGTAGTAAGTTAAAACAAACAAGTATGAGCAATGTGTTTTCCAATAGAACTTACTGATGGTCACGAAGAAAAACATAATAAAGGGGTAAGAGAATCGGACTTCCTAGAATCCGAAAACGGTACACCGTGGAAGTTTTCTATAAAAACCTCTTATAAAGGAGGATTCAAAAGCTTATCAATTTACTGTGGAAGGTTGTAAAGTCAAGGTAGTCTCTATAGAATTTACATATTTACGAGTTGAGGATTCTTCGAAGGGGTGCAGTGAGGAGAAAATGAGATACGTGGTTTGGAGAATCGCCGTTAATCCAACCTAAAAGAGTACCCACGTGGTGTTCTCGCCTCAATATATCAACACCATAGAAAGTCTCTTCGTCACTTTATTGCCCAGAATAATCATTAAGACTAGGGGCGTACCTTCACTATACAGACTAGGAGGTGAAAGGTCGTCGATAGCAAAATTTACTGACAAAGACCAGGCTGAAGAAAAATCTAGGTGCTATTTCGTCACCGATTGGCGATTTTACTGACGAACTAAAGATTTTGTTAACCAAGTGAAGACTTAGTATCAATCTCTTTCAAAGGTTTCTGGACACTACAAAAATCATATTTGATCGCCATATTTAGCTCCAATCAACTTTTCATCAATTGCAAATTTGTAACTAGAGAAAATGATAATTAAAAGATTAAAAAAAATTAGAAATGAACAACTTAAACAATCCCACTTCGTAGATCAAAGACAAGAGACGATATAGGACTGGGGACAGCTAGGCTATACGGCAATTTCTTGGATTAATCACGATATAAAATCAGGGGCTAAAACTTTCGAAAACGAATTTTTTCAAGAATTACATATGCTTATTTTTGAATCGTGCTCTAGAGAAAAACTTTACAGCCCCCTCCCCCTTGCAGCTAGAGCATAAATTCTAATGAAGTAGTTACTTAGAAAGCAATAAAAAAATTACAGACTATCTAGGTGTAAAAGATGTTGCCATTGGCACTTGAAGTTACAATATTCAATCAGCTTGAATGTTGGATGTTGCATGTTTATAAACACCTAGCTACATTTTTTAAACTGGCTTTGATTACGGAAACTTACGCAAAAAACAAAAAAAAGAAACAAGAAAAAAACTGTCTGCGAGTATGGAGGGTAGCAGCGATTCACTGAAATTGTTACGATGCATGAATGTATCTTAGAGTTGCCTTGATTATTTCTCTATTAACAGCAATTGGTAGTCTTTCATGGCCATACAACAAAACATTGAGTAGCATTCATTTGAAAAGTTTGGCAGGCCATGTTGATGTAATAATTCATTGACACTGTTGAGAAGATTATGTCTATGGGCATCATATAAGTGGCAGGACAGCAAGTAATGCTTCGTATCCTCAACGCCATCATTTATAGGACACATTGGATCAATTGCACAAAAGTGCGATAGAGAGGGGTAGCCAGGGGGCAAATGCCAGTGGCGAATCTAGCCTTAAAAATCTGGGGGGGGCTAGCCGGGGGGCCAGCTTTCAGTTATGAGGGCCAACGCTATTACTTTGCGAACTAGTAAACTGTAAAGCAGTGGCGTGGTGGCTCAAAATTAGCTACAAGGCACCAATTTTTAACGCCCTCTAGATAAGTATGTCCTTGGTAAAGCTCTATCAAAGCTGTTATCATTATACCAAATAATTTTATGAGTGGCGTAACGAGCAGCTGCGTCCCCTAGGAAAAATAACAAAGAAAAATTGTTGCTGGGGGCCCTTAAAGGTTTGGGACACTTTGTTATTTAACTAAAGGTGACTTTGGTCTGTTACTCCACTGAGTTTTATTTGTTTAACAATGATGCATAAAGAACATTATAATTTCAACAGAAGAACTATACTTCCAAAAATCAATGGCTAATAGCTTTGTGAAGTTGATTGTTAAAATTTTTCCATTGTAGTTATATCCAACCTCCATGAGATCAAGCAAATCATTCTGCTACACATAATTTCAAATCATAGAATTTCGATAAGCAATGGTAGATTACCAAGGTATACTGGGATTGTATTGGTATCTCTCCCTGCGCTGGTTTCCAGAGCGAAAAGGGTTTTCAATGGGATGCAGAGAATCTTGGCTTGTGCTTAATCTGCACACCCTGACCCAAGAAGGTGTATCTTCGTGATAATATATGACAAATAGAGAATTAAAATGATTGTCTAGAATGAATTTTGCTAGGTAACCACAGAAAGGAGCCAAAATTTCATTTATGTTCACCTTGGTTATGAACCAAAACACTTATCAGGGCCCCTAGCTTGTTAAATAAATGGAATAAAGATCGCATTGAGCAAAATAAAGAGAGCAACCCTAACAAAGGCAAAAAAGGATTAAACAGTTTTTGAAGAAAACATTGAATTATCAATAGAAACTTTTGAAAAAACTGGGGGGGGGCAAACAAGGGGCAAAGAAAATTTATGGGAGGCCATGCCCCCTGCCCCCCTGGCCCCCTGTAGAAACACCACTGGCAAGTGCCCTGGGGCATGGGCCAATTCTGGGGGCCCATGATTATATACTAATTGTCATATTTTGGAGACTACAATGGGCCTACACACATTGGTTGATCTAAGGCCTGGCCTGGCTCTCCCCATCCCTTGTGATTATCAATTTGTGCAGTTGTAAAATGATTTTGTGAAATGACAAACAGGAAAATTGTCCAGAATAAATCTAAAATTGACCGTTGTGATGGGCAAATTTTATGGATTCTCACAAGCTTCAATTTTTGGGCTATTAAAAAGCAATTTAATTACCAGTGCATATCAAGAAAGGCAAAATAAAATGACACAAGGTCTAGGACTCTAGGGGGGTTTAATGAAGTAATTAATTCCTGCTTTAGAATGGAATTTATCAAACTTAGTGTAGTGCAACAATCTCTTGCATCACCAGGTCCTTAGTTGAGGCATCATTTGCAATATCAAGAAAATTCTCTTATGAATTGTCCTTCTTGTATCTTTGTTGCAAAATGTTTGATTTAATAGCAAAAATAAAGGGCATGATCAGCAAAGATTACATAAGCTCAGACCAGTCAACTTAAAACCATCAAAACTTTGAGCCTTTAGGTTTTAGAAAAATGGAATTTCGGAGAAAAACAGGGAGGTCCCCAGAATTTTTTGAATTGCATAAGCAACATTCATAAAAAATTATGTTGGTTAAACAGGTAATGACAAAAATTTCTTCATAATGAAAGTTATGGTTTTTTATTAATTGGTAAACACTAACAAGAAATATCATGAAGAAGTATCACTGTCAAGACTGAAGAGTACATCTGGTAAATGAAATGAAAAAAACTGGGAGAGAATCTTAGAAAACAAGAAACTGAGCTAAAGCAAGTAAAACCTGCAGCATTTTTGCAAAACATGGATAGTTGACATGTCTGTAGGCTTGTTTAATTCTGTGTCTAAACCTTTTCTTGTCATGAAAAAAATTGGAACACTTTGTACAATTGTATACATTTAGTTGTGAATATAGACATATAGACCGATGTTACAGAAGAAGTGAAGGGGATCTATAGGGCTTAGAAGGGCTCCTGAGGGTTAAAAAAGGAGGCACTTGACAAAAATAGCACCCTCTGAATTTCTCAAATTTCTCAGAATGGCATAATGATTTAAGTTCTTATACTTTAAGATTACAAAGGAAATTCTTGTCAAAAACCATAAGTTTCTATACAAAGGACTGAATGTGAATGATAAATTTTTAGATTACAATATGCATAAATAAAATTTATAAACAACTATTGGGCTTGTTTCTTAGTTTGTCATATTATTAGTTAATATTAAATGATTAGGTCAGGTAAATGAATATTCTTAATTCTAAAACTAAGAATCAAAGAAGGTTTTTAAAACTTGTATTCTTTCATCAATTGCTTATTTAAAATGTGAGTTATTTAGAAAGTAAATAAATGATATAGATATAAATAGTTAAACACCAAGGCTGCTACATTTAACAAACAGCATTCAACAATGCATAGTTTCACTGGTTTCAAGGCAACACCTAATTATATATTTTGGACCATGCTCTAAGTTCCTAAAATCATACTTTGTTTCATTGAACGTTTACTTTTAGTTTAACTGAAAGATTAATTTAACACAGGAAGTCAAATTAACAATCATAATGCGGAAAATCAAAGTAAATGGTGATCCTTGTAACTTGGCTCTTGCTACTTTGATACAACAGAAACCTCAGAAAAATTCCAAACCAGTAAACTCTATTTTTGATAAGATTTGGTACAAATTTTGGCTACCTTTTGTTGATGCAACCACAAGTTGTGCAAGTTGTATAGGCTTTTGTATAGATTTAATGGTTGAGCTTTGTTAAAGTTTAGTCTTTTTATAATTTCATATTTGAAGACATTTGAATATGCCTTCTAGTTCTTCATCTTCACTTTCATTATCCCTTCAATTAACTCAGAAGAGAGAAAGCTGTTCAGGTTAAACACACTTAATTTAGATCTGCTGTTCTATTTTCAAATGAAGAGCTCCCAAAAATAAAGTCAGTTTGTATAGGAAGAGTGAGCCCTGGACCTGATGAAAATTATTCTAGATTGCCCTAGGCAACCCCAGTATAAACTGAGATTTCTTCACGAAATCATTCCATAGCTACACTGAAATATTATATTCCTGGTTAAAACTCTGCATACAACATCGTTTCAACATTGTATACAACCAGTTAAGCATTCCTTGTGCCACTTCAGAACGTCTGCAGGACGACAAGGAGTCGTCTGGAATTAATTGTTGTGATTTTGATTATTATAGGATCAACAACATGACATAACATCCTCTGGGCGCCATGAGACACGTAGCGACGACCAGACGCAGAAACAAAGGCATAGCTTCTACAACACGGTAAACAATTCACCTTCAAAGAATCAAAATAACAGCATACCTTTCTAACGAAGAGTTCGGAGCCGAATTCACTTCCACCACTTATATTGAATCCCCATGGCGGTCCGCCGGTCATGAAAACCTCAACCAATGTTTCATCGGTATTGATGCTCTTTCGAGACTCCTCCATATTGACTTCATCCATCGACAAAGCTCGCAGCTTGCGGCCGATTAGTCCAGATTGTCTTTTACTTATGCTGCATGGTTCTGCAAATTTGACTTTGCTAATCCAAAGTGAAATAATTGACTTAAATTCTTTCGATTATTAAAAACTCGCAGTGGAAAGATGTGGCCTAAATTATGAATAACCAATTATATCCGGGTCGTTTTGACGAGCATTGCAGCGGTTTCTCTGGAAAATTCGCCTGCACAGTGTCGAAAATTCCTACGCAGCTATTTAGTAATGACGTCATCCAGCAACGAGTTTTCATAACTACGCTTATAAGAGAGTGAGGAAAAACCTCATAAAAAACTTCTCCAAAAGTTGTAAAATAATGACATCATAAAAACCTATTTTTATGGTTGAGAAAAAACGACACGAAATACCTGATTGTGCCAAATCAATTATATTTGTTACAGACTGCCCAGGTTCACATTTGCTGAGGGGGCCTTTCAGAAACTGTAGTTCATTTTTACCTTTCGACCCCTTCTCCTCAAATAGAAACAAAAGCTCCCTTTGAAATTTTTAGACTAATTTGAGATATAGCAACATGAACAAAAGCTCTTTTCCCATCAAACCACTGTATTGGTAGTTTAGGGGACGTAGGAGCTAGAACTTAAGGGCAGCTGCATCCTCCCTAATCAAGAGCAATTTATCACCTTTCAGGCTTCTTTGGGCAGTTTTATCAAAATGAAGCAATTATAATCGGGCAATTATAATGCTTGTTTGGTCAAAATTCAAAAGTTCTGAAGATAACTTTTATAACTTGAACACTTTTCAACGCTATCCCTAATTGTCAAAACTCCTCAGTATGAAGCTGAATAGCATAGCAGATATACCTCAAGTTGATTGCTATCAACAAAAGATACGAAAAAGGAAAATTACTTGCAACCTTCATGCGGAAAATTTTTCGAAAAATGTGTGAATTTATGAGTAAGCAGTTTGTCGTTGAACGAATTGGTCATCGTTGAAAGGCACTTGGCTTTGTGAGAAAAATTGAAATGACTTTTATAATGATTTTTAGCTTTTCTCAATCAGATTTGTGTCACTAAACTATTTTGGGGTCGCAAAGAAAAACAGAGTCTTGACTGAAAGAGCTTTAAGCCGAAGTTAACAATAATGTAGACATAAATGAAACTGAGAGAGAAGATAATCGTCAGTAAGTTTAAGCGCACGACATGTACAGTAATATACTTTTACATCCACTGGAAGCAAGATTCTTTTAGAAAAATCCGAGAGAATTGCGCCCTCAAATAAAAACTTAAACCGCCGCCACTCCAAAGGTGTCCCACAAAAAACATATATTTTATATCCTTGGGTAAAGTATTTTTAATAGTGTTTGTTTTTTCCTCTAACTAGCGGGAAATCTATTTTCAAATTACTTTTAAAAATATGTTATGGCAGCATGCCCTTTATCTTTCTACATTAATTCTTGATGAGCCAATGTTCTTTCGCAGACGACCAGCATTTTGAATTTTCTGTTTCTTGAAGCAGTCTGTATATCAGTCCTACTAACCCCCTGATTTTGTCGGGAGACCTCCTGCCTAAACGAATTTTCCTGATCTTCCACCATCATTATATCTGGGGAAAAGTCTAAAAGGGGCAGCAGCTTAACTCTAACAGAAAATCAAGCTGAAATTCCAGTCACTGTATTTTTAAAGCAGCGGAGCAGATTCTTTTACGACTCTGCTGTTTAATTGAGTACTACTTGCTTTGATCAACTTAGGAAATTCTCTCATTTCAAAATTATCGAGAGTATCATAATCATCATCAAATTGAGTGTGCACAAATGCGAATCCATAGCGAGGCAGGTTGTGATCGAGACTCAATTTGGCGGGAAAGTTTCCTAGGGAGCTTGCACTTGTAAAATATGGCTTTCTCTGCCGGTGAAGAAAAGCTGCCTGTTGACGACACTTACTCAGAGATGAAAGAGAATGAAGTATCAAATGATTTATCCCGCAAAAGAACTGATTACATAGAATGGCCGGATTATTTTATGGCTATAGCCTTTCTATCCTCGCAGCGAAGCAAAGACCCTTCGTCTCAAGTAGGGGCCTGCATCGTAAACGAAGAAAAGAAAATTGTTGGCATCGGTTATAATGGGATGCCGATTGGTTGCGATGACGATCTGATGCCATGGAACAGGGAAGGGGAGTCAATTCTGGAAACAAAACATGCTTATGGTTTGTTAATTCAATCACTGATTGCTGGTGATGGTGGTGTTCCACCATATCATAAATAAAGCATAACGAGCAATCCTTTTAGCTCAAGCATTCCTAATCTCATGATTTTTGCCTTAAAAGGGAAAGGCGTGTCCTTAATTAAGAGTAAGAGTTTGACCCAAAAAGGTTGAAGTTGACATTCATATAGAAATAAGGCTCCTCCACCTTTTTCCATTTGTCTTTGGTAAATTGTACTGGAACAGGCCTAGGAAATTGTACACAAACGAAATTTTATTGACTTGTGGCGTACTATAGAAACTTAAAAACTTATTCATGATAAGTCACTTTTGCTTTATGCTGTTTGCAGAGACATATCATTATCTGAAAGGATAATCAACAACTTGAAGAACATTTTTTTATTTATACTTATATGCTAATACACTGAAAATGAACGTACTTATATAAAGATACACAAAGATGTTTATTTAATTATTTATGATGTATAACACGAGATTATTGGTTTGCTACAAATACTGATCATTGATTATGATATCCCATCAATCACAATCTATCAATAGAAAATGTCTGTTTGAAAGATGTTATGCAAGGTAGTTATGATGAAACATTTTTTGCAGCTGGGATTTTTTCCTTATTTTAGTTTGTCATGCTGAAATGAATGCCATCTTAAACAAGAATTCTGCAGATGTAAAGAACTGCACAATTTATGTTGCTCTCTTTCCCTGCAATGAATGCGCAAAGTTGATAATTCAATCAGGCATTAAGGAAGTAGTTTACTATAGTGATAAGTACAAAGAACGCCTTGAAATGCAGGCAGCAAAGAGAATGTTTGACATGGCAAAAATAAAATACAGGTAAATTATTTTTATTATTAGATATTTTATCTTCAGGTGTTGTAACTTTACAACATAATAAGTCTTTCCCATAAGCTTAACATGCCAGGAAAAATTTCCACAATCCTAACATAATATTGAGTATATATACTATATATAGTGCATATAGGAGAAAAAACCTTGTTCATCTTCAATGATATATTATGTTCAAATTTATAGCTTCACAATTGCAGAATTATGACTGTTCATAGAGATTTCCATGCTCTACTGGCCATATAATTCTGGGACATGTTGACTGGATTCTAGCCAACCAGTTTTATTTAGTAGCGTTATGATTAAACTTCAATTGGTCTCCTTAAAACAGGTAATATTGGTCTCCTCCATTACCTGGACTCTTTCTTTCATAGCTCTTTCTGTTTCAAATTGCTCTTATTTGTGTCTTTATAATATTACTATAATCACACAATTGTTTTGATATTTACAGGCAACATATACCAAAACAGAACAAAATCACAATTGACTTTCAGTTAATCAACAAAAACAAGCCAAAACCAAGCGGAATGCGAAAGCTTGCCTTCAGTCCTTGAAAACTTTTTAAAGGATGTTTTGTATATTGGTAGCATAACTGATTTATCTAAGTAATACTGTAGCTCTAAATTTATTAATTCGTGTCAACTTATTTTCTATAGATTTTTCAAAAGTACTTTGTAAAAGGCATGAGAAAAATTAAGTAAAGTTGTAGGTAATGCGTCATTACACTAAGTATGGTGGAAGTTAATTAGGATTAATGAAAGAATTGCCATTTCTTTTAAGGTGTCATTTTCGTTACTAGTCATGTTCTGTTGATTTTGCAAATCAAAGTTTTGTTTAAAATACCAAAAAGATTTATTAAAAGAGCCTAATAAAATTTATACTAATTTTCAAACTAGGCCTATTTATTAAGATGGATGTCATGATAGTAATCATATTTTTAAGAGTTCCCTTGAGCTATAAAAGTGAAAAATGGTCTGTTTGAGTTATTTTCAAGAAATGTGACTTAAACACATTGATCATGAAATTGGATGGATAAATCATTCTAATGATTTTCTTTTATTTATTTATATACTATTGTTGATATTTTAAAAAGTACTTTCAGAAAAAATATAAATACCGTTTTTATTTTTTGATAATTCTTCATATTTCTTCCTATTTATGTGTTCTTCAACAATCTGATGAATTTTAGAAAAGGCCCCAGCTAAGCTGCAATTTAACTGTACTGTTTGCAAATGAATATGATATCTTACTGTTTTGGATGTAGCTCTAAACAGGCCTCTGTTTCAATACATTATCATGAAAATGAGATTTAGAAACTTTCAAAGCAAACACATTGAAACAAAGCTTTCAGCTTACCTACAAAGATGGCCTGGCAAAATTGTTATTGAATATTTTTCTAAATCAAACCCCTGATTTCCTGCCTGATTACAGTTTAACAGTCTCAAAAAGAATCATCTAAGACAATAAAACAGTAGGTTTCACATAAGTTATCAAAGTTGTTATTTCAGAGGCACAATTTGCTATACAATCTTCTATACTAGGACTGCTTTCTAAGGACTAGCCAAAATGGTTAATATCAAAACAAAGCTAATTTTTTGGTAAATGAAGCAGTATCAGAAAAGTTTTATGATAGCCAACACTAATACATGATTGTTCTTTACTTTGAGTTCCGTTGGTTTTAGTGAGTTCCAAACTCTTTTATTCATCTTTTCTTCTTTTGCCTTCACTTCGCCTATCAAAAAGGGAGGATGAAATGGAGATTTATGGAGAAACCTCAAAACCTTTCCTTGTTTGCACTTCAAAATTATAGCAATAAATATATGACATTGATGTTAAAATAATATGTTTGGTTTTCTACAGGGCTATCAATATTTGCATTTGTCATAGACAATATAAACAAGAATAAAAAATAAAGAATATAAAAATTCAAATTCTGTCAACTTTTAACAATTCATTAAAAAGGGGTTATTCTTTAAAACCTTAACTTAGCTGAAATTTAGTTCCCTGACAAGTATTGAATCACGAATAGATGAGATGTTTTGTGATTCTTAGATTGTATTCTATACATGTTACTGGTAAAAATCTAGATAAAAGCTTACCCAGGATCTGCATTCTTTCTCTTTGATATTATCTGTTGAAAAAATAGTTACTCATTTAATCATCCCAACCAAAAAGGACACATCCTAATGAATAAGCTGTTGATGAAAAATTGGCCCAATTAACAAAGAAATAAAAAAGGAAAGTAATCATCACAAGAATCAAAATAATGCAAGTGTAAGCAAGGCTTTTGCTACAAAAACTAAATTTTATTTTGTCTTATGATCCTCCACCTCCCTAACTTATCTATCACCAAATATATCAGATGGTCTACTTCATTAATCAATTTTATTTTAGAAATAAGACAGACAGTTACTGTCAAATTCATTGCAAATGTTGTTGCCTACGAATGAGTACTTAGAGTCAGTGGTGCCATGGAGGGGCGGGGGCTTATCTCCGCTTTTTAAAACTAAGAAGGATTTTGGGGGGTAACCCCTATTTCTTAGCAAACCAGTATATGTTTTGTTTAGTGAATTCCTTACTTGGCAATGTGAACTAATCCTTTACTATGAGCAATTTAAATTGGCCATTCAGATTTTGTGAATATTTTGAATGATTTCATATACACAATACAAAATCTTTACCACAAATGCAAGTATATAGGGTGTGGTCATGGGTGTGGTCATCGGCATGGCCTCTAGACGTTCCCTACAGCATACCCCATCTTCCCATTTTTAGGACGGCACCCCTGCTTAGAGTGAAAGAAGCCCTCTTAATTGTTGGTTTCCTCATTGGCTTTATAGTTGTTTTCCGTAAAACATACCTGTGCAGTAAAACATATCTTTTAGTTCCGCACAATTTTGCTAACAGATCGATTAGTGTGTGCAAATGTACATCAAACATCTTTAGTATATCAACACAGGTGGTTCAAGTAAGCACTGGCTGAATAAGCAGTGCAAGAAAGTGTCAAGAGAGGTCATTCATATTGTAAGTAACAGTTTAAAGAGAATTTTCACACACAAGAATTCGATTTCAGAGGAGAACGCTGATCTTAAAAGCAACATAGCAAGCGCGCTCGACCTGGACAGAAAAGTGGGGGTCACTGTTGTTCAAGATTATGCATTACAAAAGCATATTGAATCTGCTGGCAAGATGTTTGAAACACAAACATTTGATTCAAACAGGAAAGAAAGACTTAGCGTTTCACGTTGTATAATGATCTTGGTGGTGAATAATGATTCTTTTTATAACTTATGAAGAAATCCGTATATTTTAAAATATGCCAACATTTCTTCCGTCTGCTTTATTCCACACGAACTTGCCTCTTTCTGCGACCAAAAGTGTAATATTTTTTGAAGAGCGAACATCACAGATCGCTTGTCTTTGGAATTCCTGAGGTGACCTCCAAATCTATAGTAATTTGAGCGCTTTTTAGAATCACCCTAGATTTAATGTATGGGCAGGCAGTTTTAACGGTTCCACGTCAAGAAGATTTTAGATTAAACGGAAAAGAGGCGTTATAAAAAATTATCCTGATACATGTGGACGTGGCCAGCATATCACGTCTAGGGCATCGGACTGCCTTAAGCAAAATATCGTTTCCTAAGCTTTTACAGATACCACTTACACGTAGTAATCTGTACCGCCTCTTAATCCGTGTTTTGATCTTTAGCAATAATAACCGCTTGCGTCCACTTTCAACTCACTCAAGAAGGATAAGGAGGCCTAAAGCAGCGACATTTTTGTTATGCATCTTGCAAGCAGGGGGCGACTTGACGCAGATATACTTTTGACGTAATTACATCAAAACTTCCCTTTTATGCTAATACGTCTTAAATGCCGATAGGTATGATGTAAGAGTTTTGCAATACAGTTCGTGCAACGAAGTCTGAAGTCATTCTATAATAAGATTATCAAAAAGTTAATCAAATCAATTACTACGAAGTGTGTTTGAAAGCGGGCTTAGCGGGAGAGACATAAAACTTGATAAAGCTTATTGCATGAACAGAATTTTTATTGTACTACCTAGCAATTTCAATGCTCTTGGAAAAAATTCGTCGAAAACCTTGCCTAAACACAATTATCCTTAACGCGGAGAATATTATTTACCATACATGGAGTGTGACACTAAAGTAAAAACGAACTTCATTAAACAGCTCCAAACCTCTTCCCCAAAATCTAATTCATAAATGTCACATAATCTAGGTTCTATTTTCTAGGGGGAAATGATTACGTGCAATCACGGGCAAGTGAATGACCAGGTTAAGAGAAAAAACCCAAACTCTCCAGTCATTTAAAACACCAAACCTTTAAAAATATGGCAAGATTTTTTTTAAATTCATTGACCTTACTCAAGGAACCTCGCTTCACCAAAAGGTCGGCTATGTGTCTTTATCACACTTCGTATACACACTACTGTAGCTGAAACATTGTCCTTTTGAAAAGTCTCTTAAATAGAATTTTGTTGAACAACAAGTTGACAACAGGCTTGCCATTTGTCCTGTCGTGGGATGGCCACCAGTGCTTGGTACCTCTATTGTCATTATTGATTTCATAGGACAGGTATGATTTTTCCAACAACCTATATTTATGACCAACTGAAAGTATCTGGTAGGCTGGCTATCTGCATGGCGACTAACTGAACTGATTAATCAATAGAATAGAGTTACTCAGGCGGAAAAACCCTCATTCGTAGCAAATTCAAACCCAGAATAAAGGTTGGGCTTTAACGGCGCAGTTTACAACCATGATAAACGCTGAACGTCCATAGACACGGGAACCAACTAATACCTTAGCGTCTGAAAATGAACAGGAATTAAAAAAATCAGCTTAAATGATTTTAATCACCATCTCGCAGACGTCAAAAACTGCAAAATCTTCTTACCTGACTTATCTGCTGCCACTCTCTATCAAGTTTTTGCTTTTCAGTCATGTGACCACCCTTTGTTCTTGTTTTCCTTCCATCAGACATCTTTATACCAAATTGAAACGCAGCCCTGCAACATAGAAATCGTCAGCTACTTCATCGAATCATTAATCTGTAAATCTGTGGTTATACAGAGATTCGCTATTTCAGAATTCCGGTTAGAAGTCACGCAGGGTCAGTTTCCGGAGCAAAATACCGTGCAAAGGTGGGTAAGCGTAAACTATTTCAATATAAAAATATTCAGAGCCCACAAAGCCTCAACTGGCGTGGCTTAATAAATGTAAACAAGGCGACATATATTTCACATTTATATTTGAAAAGAAAACACCTGTTTTACAAGAATCTAATAAAATTGCTCGATGCCGTGAAGACGGAGCTGCAAACTCGGCTTTTCGATTAAGAACGGTCCTGTTCTACGTGCCAAAGCGTACACAGAATTTTACATGAAGAACATTAGGTTTTATGGCTCCTCCTCCTTGTACATAGCTCCAAAGCAGAACCCTACTCAATTGGTAGGCACATACCTATTATCACCAGTCAAATCCTTGCATCAATAATCTAGCCAAAACAGTTGAACAAGCAAACATTTGACATGATATGTTTACATAAGAATGAAGAGCGATTGATTCTTCATAATTACAAACTTCAAAATTATTTTTTTTGCATTCCTAGCGTCCTATAGTTCTATTATGCCTGCAGGCAAGCGTGTGTCTGTACAAGACCTCTGGCTAACCACATTCACACCTTTTCAGCAACCTTGAGAATGCATAATGCGTAGCATTAGCTAATTAGAGCAACCAAACGTCTGAATGAGCACAGACCCTGCCACAACAAATGCTTTATGGCCTATTTAAATAATCAACAGTACCCAATAGTCGCCCCTCAAGAACACCACTCTGCCAATTAATCAGGTACAAATAGAAGCATAAAAGTTGCTGTCTAAAACATATCTTCATATTCACTTATATCACATATTCAAATGTAACACTGGGTAGGCACTGGGCAACTTGAAATATTTACAAATCTAAAAAGGACAAAACATTATTAATTAACAGGGCTACGTCCAGTTAGGTAATTGATATTTCCTCTTTTTCAACTCGTTTGGGGACTTTCACCCGGGAGGGCTGTTCCACTAATGCAAAATTTCTTCGGACCACGCCCTTCGGAACATCGCAAAAAACGTCTTTTGCAAACGTTATTTTAGAAAGATGTGATAATATTACATGAGCCCCACCAAACAGACAAATCAAAAATCAAAATCTCTGGAAATGACTGAACAATACAGAAGATGGAATCAATACGCACTTCGGTAACGCCTCTCTCGATTCCATGTATTTGTTATATTCCTCTTCGTTGTCGAAATCCCATCTGCCAACCGGACCTTTCTTGTTGCCCTGCAATCATTTAAAGCGATAATTAAAGATTGAAACACATGGTGAGCATTTCTATTAAATATCTTTTATAAAGTGTTCAAAAATCCGTCGGCATTGCGATCTGCCATTTTTCTTACTGAGAAAAACATTTGACTGAACAAGGAAAATCTAGGTAGATGTTTTTGGAAACTTACCAGGTCCATTTTGGTGTAATCTGCCTCATCGTCAGTATCTCCAGCGGCATCCTCCATTTCATATGCACTAAAAATACATAAACAAAGATACATAAACAAACATATGTTTGATTACAGTCATGCCTGTCGAGTGGGTTTGTCATCTAGCATCTTGCTCATTAAGGCAAGTAGGTACTACAAATGTTTATGTTTTAGAGTCACTCCTACGTCAGGAAGAAAATTTGAGGATCTAACATTAAAATCATGATCAAGCATAAATAGTTGCGATTTTGCGTTGCTAAACTTGTAAAATGTACCAAATTCATAAGCAAGATTAAAATCATGCTAAAAATCTCCCTTTATCTTTTAACCAGAGCACATTTTATAAGCACATTTAGGCACGATTTTCCAAAGAAAAAGATCAAAGTAAGAGCATGATCAGTTTCAAATGAAAAAATGAGAGAAAAAATCAACGCGTTAAAAACATTCAATCTCATTGAGATTTTATCAGCTAATCAACCCTGAAACTAAGTTTTTAATGCAAACTGTTATTTAGCGGTCTTAGAAACAATTTGTAGAAAAATCAATGTTGAAGAAAGTACAACATTAAGAAAATTTGATCTTCAAACACTTCAAATAATAAGAGCATCGAATCGAGCCTTACAGAAAAGTCATCTGGTTCTTATTAAAAAATGGCGGAAAATAGGAATCGGCGGCGTGTATGGCAGAAACCCGTACAAACGTAGTGGTTTCTTAAAATTACATCAAGAGTCTAAGATGACTACAAACATCCTGTCATGCGTAGGGAAAATGATATCTTCGATTTTTAACAACTTTTTCCGCCAGAAATTTTTTCAAATAAAATCAATCAAGACTTCCATCTTTTCGGTTGGCCGAAACTGGCCCACGGTATGACTTGACATTTCGTACCTTCATATTGTCTTCATATCGCTTGACATTCGTACGAGTATTGGGGGGGTATTAGACAAAAAGACTGTAAACACTCGCCTCAAATGTTTTCATAGTTCAGAATATCATAAGGAAGGTTTTGAAAAATTGCCTTAAATTTTCGTAATGTGTTTGACAAAAGTCGGATATAAACAATGGTATCCCGTTGTATTATATTTCCAAGAATTATTTGTCGGTAACGTCTAACGAAGTAGTAATAACTAACCCTGGATAGCATTCAGCATAACTGTCGGGTGCATCTTTCTTTTTGCTTGATTTTGATTTCCTGGAAACATGAAATACCAATTTAGAAATGCAAGAAAGGATTTTAGGCACCATTGACAAATGAGATTAAAATACTTGCAAAGTAACACAAAGAAACAACTTGTAATGTTTCAAAAATGCTTTCAAATTTTTGCTATCAGAATTCCTTACTTTAAAAACAAGGAACATGCCTAATGATAATCTTAATTAATGGCAAAACCAGACTACCTTGTTGAATGATTCGCTCTTAATAAGTTGAGGGTTTGTTAAGATTAAAGCAAGTTTTAATAAAGACTTTAATAATCAGATGAAACTAATGCTTTGCGGCTTTTACAGTCTCAATGAATCGATCCGCTTATCGAATGTCGCTAAAATTAGAATTCTAAGGACGCAGGGGCTTAATATTTCAAACAAGTAGAATTGTGATTTTTAAGGTAGGATACATTACAAGACCTAAACTTGGAAAAACGGAAAGGGTGGCCATATATTGATTTTTGAGAATCGCTTTAATAATGAATCAAAACTAATGTATTCCAAAATAAATGACTTATAAAAGACAATAATCTCCTGCATACGATTATCAAATTGATTAAGATAAACACAATTAATTATTATCAAGTTTTTATAAGTTTCAAACAATTACTTACGAAGGTTTTTCACTTCTGCTTTCAGATGTATAGCTCGTTAAGGAACGATCGATACGATGAATTTCAACGAAATTTTTGGCTACAGTTTAGTGAATTAAAAATATTAAAAATCATAAGACAGAAACTATGCTTTCCGAGCAGCAAAGAAAATACTGGACCAAATGACTAGAAAATGATATTTAGTCTACCCTCAATGCTAGTATCTAAGTATGATATAGCAAGTCCTTGCCTATAAGAAAGCGATATTTTTTAATTAGGTTGTCTAGCTTCTTATATAAATGGAAAATATCTTTAAATGATGCTTGCTGATTTCTTATACATCCATTTAGAAACTATATTTTTACAAAATGCCTTCTAGTTCGTCTCTTTGGATGGATTCAATGATATTAGGAGATTGTTCTTTTCAAAATTTTTTTGACTGCTTAAAGTGAAAGAGAATAATTGGGTTTTCAGTAAAAAGTTAGCCTTTCGTTTTGATTGGATCTTTTTTCAACTTTACATCATTTCCACGTTTCAATAAGCCCCCTTTTCTCGGAGGGTAATTCAGAGGGTATTAGAGGCTAATTCAAGAATTTACAATGCAAAAATCATATCGTCAACCTCAATATCACATATGCTGTTCTCAGCTAAAACTGATATTGCCTAGACCCTGAAAATATTGAACCTCGATAAAAAAAATGAGCCATGTTCACTTCAATTTCCAACCACCCTCTCCTTCACCGTCCTCTCCTTAACCACCACTTCTCTAACCAACCACTTCCTACCCAAGGTCGCCCTGACCATCAACTCCATCGTCCCCCAAATACCAAATTAGCGTTACAGTCAATAAGATGAATTTCTTATAGAAAAGGATATTGATTTTCTGTCCAGCTGGAGCTCGGCTGAAATTGCAAGCAATTGAGATTTCAAATATTGTTACCAACCCAGAATTTGTCTCAAATCTCAAGACAGGTAATAGAATATAACGAAGACAAAGCAGTACATACTATAGTTACGTTCAATACTACCAACGTACATGATTTAGGTAATTCTTCAATACAAGCAACAAAGGCTCTTACTGGAAATTTATATGGGTTACCTTATTTCCATATTTCTCCGATACGTTTCGCACAAGTTCTTTAACAGACAGTTCTGCAATGTATAAAGAATTTCGCTTAACAATCGTGTTACAAAATTCTTTCAACGATTAATTTTGCTTCTGTGACAAAAAAATAAATCTCTAAATTATATTATCATCTTAAAGCTGGTTTAATGCGATGCTCAAACTGACCTAAACATGTGTGTATGCCCAGTGTAACGTTCTAGTAAATATTTTGCCTCGTGAAATTATGATCACATAAAAGACCTAAAGAGCTCAAGCTGTAAAAGATAACTGAAAGCAAAACCGAAATTCTACCACATTGTCAGTCTTGATGCTTCTTAAAGACTTTGCGAAGAACTTATATTAGCACCCTAGATAACATCCAAGATGGAAGAAAGTTTTCATCACCAAGCAGAAAATCATTCTCAATAAACTATGAAAAAATGCATTCATTTTTTTAGCTTTTTTAATGTTTTTAATTCTTTCTATTTCCTATTTTATCTTTTTTCAGTGTTTCATCTTTTTCATTTTTTTATCTTTACATTTTTTCCTTTTTTCTATTTTTCATTTTTTTATCTTTATATTTTTTCCTTTTTTCTATTTTTCATTTTTTCAGTTTTTTGTTTTTTTATCTATTTTCTTTTTTCTTAATTCTTTAACTTTTTTACATTTTTTTCATTTTCTTTTATTTTTTTAACTTTTTTACCTTTTTTTTCATTTTCTCTTATTTTTTTATCTTTTCATTTTTTTTATTTTTCTATTTTTTTAATTTTTTTTTAATTTTTTAATTTTTTTTATTTTTTTTATTTTGATGCATTATGGTTATCAAATTTACTCTTTCTGCAAAGAAATTTCTTCAGTCATGAGCTTTTTGAATTTCAGAAACAACACGAGATCACATATTAGCTCCATGCTCAAGGCAGATGAGATAGAGATGGACCAGTATCTGTGTTATTACCTAACCAGGAAAAGTGCATTCTGCAGGAATCACAAGTATTAAAAGTGAACCAGAAGAAGAGAGAATACTACCAAAACTAAAACACCTATAAAGAAATTTGAGGATCTTAACTCGATATTAAAGGGATAATAACACGTTGACGAACCTGGAGGTTTGTCGCCCTTTGCATGCTGAAAATAGAAATTCAATATAGATATTTGTATTGGACAATGCGTGTGAAATGTATAAAAGTCATATTATTTCAAATACTTAAGATGAAGATTTTCATAGTAATTGGCAAAGCTGGTATTTAGGAAAATGCCTGTGAATCAACTACAGCTAGCATAAGTAACCGAATAAAACAATAGAATAACAATTCTTTTTGTTGCTTTGCTAATAAAAATATTCCATTAACAATCATTTGATGCAAATTTGACTTGTTTTATTAGCTAACATATAAAATTGCTCGAGGGCAACGAGTCATTTTAAATGATACTGAAAATCAATGAATGTATCGATAGTCGTATGTTTTTTATAGTGAAGAAAAAAATTACTAGATTATAACATATCGTTCATGACACGACATAAAATCTTACAAAGTATCATGATATCCTAATGGGGATAATTATGATTAGAATTCACTCCACACGACTTACATCACTCGACGACTTTTGAAAATAATTTACAGCTTTTCCCGATTTCTTTTCCTTCTTGCCTGAACTCTTATTTCCAGGAACAGGTTCGTATTCTCCAATATCTCCGTAGATGCTGAAATGACAATCAAATCAAGGTCAACAACGATGTACATTCACAATACTTTAGGAGAAAAATTTGTGAATCCTGACCTCCCTAAGATTACTGAAAATTTTGCAAATCTGTACGAGTGTAAAATTCTTGAATGACGTTTTCTTGTACAAATTTTAGCTAATTTTGGAAAATTTACAAATAGCAGCATGATTAGCAAAAGATCATGAAATACTCTCGAAGATGGTTTTTAGTTCATCAGAAAAGCTACATACAGTTCATATTAAAATTGATCGCCATTACCTTTCCTCTGTGGCTCCCTTTTTACCTGCGATAAAAAATAGTGAAGCTGAATTAATCATGCAGAAAATCATCATAAGGAATCTATATGTATTAAATGAAATTGTTTTGTCAAAAAGCGTACACTTTTTGCAGCAAGAGACGTCTTCAGAATGCATTAAAACTAGCTGAGCTGTTAATAAGGCACTAGCATTTCGCGATAAGTCCCAGGCAGTATTCTATGGTAAAACTACATTAACGTGACGTCATCCTCCAACTAATCTCGGAAGAAGGGTTTCGACATACCAGCAACTGCCTAAAGTTTGCTAGAGATGTACGAAATAAAGAAACGCTAAAACTGACTTAATTTTTCCATGAAATCCTACCATAGAATGTTTTTGTCTAGTTACAGAAAGTTGGTGCAGCAATGCTGGTAGTGTTAAAGCAATGCTGGATATGACTCCAAGCTTAACCCTTAATCTGCAAACTGCAGTTCATTTGGTACAACAGCATTGAAATCCACTGGGTTTTTGCCAAAGGGCGGACTTTCAGTATCGTTATTATTTGACTCACAGACGCTGATCATACTTAATTTTTCAAGAAGCAGCCTCCAGAGACGCAATGCAAAAATCCTGGAATTAAGGCGTAAATAAGAAGTATGACGCATACAATTACCTTTTATACCATCTTTGTCTTTCTTTTTGCCCTTCTTATTCGCTCGAACTCCTTGTCTCAAGTATGACAAGATCTGAGTTAGTTTGTTTATCACAATGTCATTTGTTGTCACAGTGGATTGATTCTAAAGGGAAAAATCATTATCATATATCCATTTAATATTTTTCAATCACCACTAGATTGACATAAAATCTCAACATACAACAAACTACATGAATACTGCTAACTATCACAAAGTCATGATGACAGACAATATTTGAACTCTCTAAACAAATTTTCATCCAATTTACAACGAAAACTTTCATTTCTTAGTTTCAGAATCAGGTTCATTCCTTTAACATAATCTTTTCTATAGCGATCTTACATCATCTCATAACAAACAAGCATTGTGCATGACCAACTGGAAACAACATTCATCAAATATCCAAATAAATTGCCTTAATCACAATATTGATAACCATTGGTATTTTAGCCAATATAATATTTCATTATCAATCAACATCTAGCTACCTCGAGCACAGGGCAGTCAGATTTGCTTCTGATAGTAGTGGTTGGGATGTCACTATCTGGATCCTCATCATCTAACTCAAACAAATAGGCCTACAAGGAAGATTCAAATTAGTGGCATTTCAAATGTATCATTAATCTGTTATTAAAAGCTGTTACTAAAGATTTGGAACCTATGCTATTTATGACTGTACAATCGCCATACGGTACATCACAGAAAAGTCTGTTGTAGAAGAAATTGAACCAGACAGATACCCATTACAATGATGTTCACTATGCATTTTACTGTGGAAAATTTGAATATAATGATAAACGAAATGTCTTAATGATTATTTCCTTTTCCTTTCATTTTAATAATAAACTTTTAAAAGAATACTATACTGTTATAGCATTGGGTGACTGAATGTACTTGTTGACAAGGGATTTGCCTAAGGAAACATTCTATTTCTGAAGACCAAAGTTTCTAGACTAAAGACGAATTTGTGGGAGATGCGGTCAGATTTAAGCGGTTGGGTCTGGGCAGGCTTCAAACGTGCCTCAAAAACAAAATGGGTCTTGTCTCCTATTAAAACGTATTTGGATAGGATGTCGTTAAAAACATTCGGTAACAGGAATACAGGACATGGGATGTAGATATCACATGGGATGTAGATTAAGTTAAACTTACCATTCTGCCAGACACGAATAACTCATTCTTTTCTGGCACACGAGAATTAAACACGGCGTTATAAATTTTTTTGCCTGGAGAATGAAAGATGATACGGGAATTTATTGATCAAAAAATATTACGATAAATAATGGTATAAAGATGAATTTTTGACAAGCCAATGATTGTTAGCATATCTGAAGCATTCCCGTTCTAACTTACTAACTCCCGTTGCTAAAAGCCTTAAAAATATGAGTAGTGTTATTGCTGGAAAAGTTTATACGAATAATACGAAAGCTATCACAAACTTATCAAATGGGGGGTAAATGCGGAGTGAAAGTTTGAACAACGGTCGGTAGCTTCTCTACATTATTCTCATATTATACTAGCAATTATCATATGCATACATTGAATTAAAATATAACAGTTTCTGTATGTTTCAGTGGAGGGTCTCTTGAAAATAAGCATTGCTGAAAAGCTATCATCTTTAAATTCATTAAAGGAATGAATCAAATAAATTTTTAAGTTACAGCTGGGTTTAAAAGTAATTCTATCCTATGATGGGAATTTCTCTCGCGCGACAAATTTGATGCGTAATAAGGAACGTTCTTTTAACCAGTTACAGTATTTTGCAGTTCAAAATTTGAAACTTCAATAGATTTATTTACTTAACAACGAGATTTTGCTGCAAGTACGCCAATTTTCAGGATAGACCTATACTAACTTTTACTAACCTGCAGGTGAAATAAATTCTATATCATCTTTAGGCGCCTCTTTTCTGCAAGAAAATATGTATCATGCAATTGCATATTTTGAGAAAAGAAAGGTTATGATTTTGCAATTACTATGCTGAGGAGTGAATAAATCGAATACTTTCAGAGACAGTCATTTTTCTAGTTGACAATCTTTCATATAAGTTCAATGAAATTGCACCAAAGCCTGAAGTGGTGATGAGTGGCTTTAAAGGGAAACTCACTTGTCTTTTGCCTCCTTTTTTTCTTCTTCAGGGACTTCGAGTTCACTAAGTTCACTGCGTACCTAAAAAACAAAGCATTTTAATTCCTTCAATCCTCCAATACATGAAGATAATCGACGAAAAGCGACGATCTGGGTTGCTCTCCAAAATGTGATCTTCCAACCATAAAACCACTAAAACTAAAATCTGAGCTAAAGAAACTCTAAATTTAAATGGAACATTCAAATTCAGACAGTAAAGACAAAAGGTGACAGGATTTGCCAGTTTAAAGGCCCCCTTTGGCTTCTTAAGGCAGTTCCCATACAGAATTCTGTCAAACAGTCTAGGTGTCCATTTTGCTGTTTAAGCGCAAAATTGAAAACAGCTCAGTCGCGATTGTCATGTTGAGGACACAGAACCAATCATACATCAAAACACAGTATACTTAAAAAAGGATGGTCGCCTGATAACAACAGACTTGACAGCATGGAGACTCCGCATTCAAACTGGCTGACTGACTAACTGGCCCACTAAAACAATACACACCAAAGATACAAATTATACTTTCCTTTCACCTCAACGATCAACGTCCAGTCTGGCTACAGTTTACAGCAATCTCTATAACTGAAATAATTAATGATGCTCGCGTTTTCCTTCTTCATAGCATATACGATGGGCCAACTGTCAGTCTTGGTTGACATGACATATGACATAAATATGACATATATTAGTTTTACTACCTTAAATGAACACCAGCGCACAGTTCATAAGTGTTATTCTGGGTCAATCATGTCAAAATAATTTCGGATTCCATCTCTCACATTTCTCTGCTTTTTGCATTTTCTAAACAGGAAGCGTAAGCCAATATCAAGGCCGTCTATATACAAGCCTGCGGACTATAAATGACCCATTCCAGCACACCAATATTTGCAGCCCGTCAAAAACATATAGTAATACAAATAAAAGCCCGACGTTGCTCTTTACAATAGCGTTTGCTGCAAAGCTAAAGGAAGTCAAATGGAATTTTAGAAAGGACAAAAGCTTCCGACTCGTTTCCTTTGCCCTGTGCTTCTATTTAAAGCAGTTCAGTAAAACCTAATTTAGTTTATTACTGTGGCATCTCCAAGATACGTAATCAGCCTTTTGGCGTTTCTAAGCAACAACCTCCAGCTCTTCATTCCGGTTGAATTTAATCACCGTGTTCTAGACAGATTCATGCGAATTAGTTTATCTTATCATATTGATATAAAAAAAGAGATACCAGTTTTTAAGGCAGAACTTGTATGTAACTGTCTGGCGACTCCTTAAATAACCACATTAAGGCCTATTCGCAAATACTAAATATAACAGCCGTCCATTCATTTTATAGTATGCTGTACTAGTTGCGCATGACTACCGTTGTCAAACTTCTCCACTACGGGAGCATTGACCATATATGTCAGCTATTTCTAGCTACTTTAAAGAGTATTTAATTGAAAACTTTACTTTCCTGAAGTAGGAAAAACTTATAAATATGAAGTTTAGTTTGTTATAGAAAATGTCATCTTTGTAGATAATAGCTCCCTCCATACCTCCTTTGGTCAAAACAATTATTCTTTCTGGCTTCTTTTCGATAGTTCTAGTGACAAAGCTTGCTTGGTCCATCGGCAATATTGTCATCACATTATAATAATTAGGAAACCTTCACGGCAACCAAAGTCGCACAATCAAAAATTCCAGACCATGATATTAACCCACCCCTCACTTCCCCCTAAACGTCTGTTAACGGATTCTGACTAATTGCAGAATCAATTTATGGGAAAACTCATGTTCATCCAAGTCCAACCTGTGCGGGCATTTTCAAAAAAGTTTAAAGATCTTCATAAAAGCTCCCCGAATAACCCCAGAATATGATAGGCACTTTCAAGAAAACATGCAAACCAAAAAGCAAAACCTTTCTCCCTGTAAAATACTGCAAAGGAACTGCTACAAAACAGCAAAATTTCTCGTTAAAGAGGCGCATTTCAAAGTAAAATATATACCAATTTATAACCTGAATGAAAAGCAGATGACATACCTTCTGTAAAAGGGCAAAGTCAAGCCCCTTTACCAAGTGAGTGTGCTCCATGTCTCCTCCCAAGAATTTACTCTCCTGAATTGCAAGTCTCCTCCTCTCTGCTGCATTACTCCTGCATCAATATACATACATACATACAAACATATCCACATACAACATTGTCTGACGAGATTAATGATCTTGTTCTTGATTCGTTCATGTTTTATCATAAAAACTAGCTTTATCTTAAAAAGTGCAGCCTTTATATCTGAAAATTATTTTGTCAAATCTATTGGAATTCTTCAAATTTACAGAGCATTTAATGCTAGAAGCTATGCTTTTGACAGATTGATGAAATTTGTAAAAGTCAAATATTCTATTATATTGTGATAAACGCAGGACGAAGCCTAAACAGAACCTAAAAATTATTTGCACGTTCTATTGGTTTTGTCACGATCTTCTTCGGAATGCTAACTTTTGTACTCTAAATGAATTCCACATTCCTTCAAAAATATTAGAAAACTAAATTGTGTTCTTCGCAGCATTAATGGCATAGTACTATTCTTCAAGTCTTAAAAAGAGTCTTCTGCTTCCGTAATGAAAACTTTATATAACTTCAGAAAAATTTAGAGACGTTTTCTCAGAAGGCAATTAAAAGACTGCTAAATGTAACCCAAAGGGGGATCTTAGGAAACTGAGTTTGCTTTGGTGGTGTAAAATTTAAAAATGGTGTTGAAAACCAAACAATTAAAGCACTAAGGATTTATCTGAAACTTTTCAAAAAACTCCAAAGTAAGAAATGGGTACCCTCAAACCAATTTCTGGCACCGAATGTCGACTTGCTTTCAAACTAAATCCATTATACTCACGTGGCATCGGCAGTTGGAGCGACAGCTCTGTACTCAGCTGTTTTTGTTGTTGAAGCAGGGTCAATATGCTGATAATCTGGATTCAATCCATCTCGCCTTTCTTTGGCCTATGACGAAAGACAACAAGATTCTAGATTCTAGTCATCTTTAGAGTCCTTAAACTGAACCAGTTGGGGAATATAATTTCATTTTTTACATGGAACAAGCTAACAACCAATGCTATGAAATTTGAGAATTTCAATTTTATTGCTTAATCGCTCAAAACTAAACAAGATTCTTATTTCTGCTAGCATGAAACTAAAAATAATTACTCTATCTCTATATCTTTCTGCAAGCTCCTTTTCCCTTTCTTCTTCCTGTTTTTTCAATTTTGCATAATAGTTTTTCTTCTTTCTTCTTCTGGTCGCAGCATCTTCAATTTCATCAAATTCTTTGGGTATCCTGTCAAGCATTTCATGGAGAAATATAAAATCATTTTAAAGTCAATAATAATAAAGTCATATTGATATTATCTGTTGACTGCCAAATTTTGCTGTTAATTGTGTTAAAGAGGCAAAACTATAATATAATCAAGCTCAAGTTCAAGTTCAAGTTTTCATTTTAAAAATTCCAACATACAAATTCCAGCTAACAACAAGTACAAAACTACATTAACAACAACAAATAAATAATCATCTTTAAGCATTGGCAAAAACAAACAAATGAAGCAGCAGGCATCCCCAAATTTGAATATATTATGCAGAAGTAGCTATTACATCTTTCCAAAAGTTTTAAGATCCTTGAAAATTAGTTTATAGTTTTCTGAGGACCCCAACAGAATGACAACCAAATACACTTGCAAATACAAATACATATAACAGGAGAGCCTTGATAAGACCAGGTATACTTTCTATGACCTAAGAAATTAAAAATACTTGAAAACTTACGGTAATTTTGGTCTTGATGGCGGTGCTACATGTGGTGTACTTCTTGGTGTCATGAGCAATTTTCTGAAGTCAGCATTTGTGAGGTTCCTGCACAAAAGATTAAAATAGTTTCCACTAAGTAAGGAAATTAATGTAACATAAGTGTAAGAGCTTTTTAAGACTGTAAAAGAGCAGTTTGCATAGGGTTTAACTGACAAAAAGTAAAATGAATAGCAAGGAAAGCAAATAAATAAGTAGAAACAAAAGGTCTTTAACTATTTACAACAGTAAACTGTATTTGAGATACCATAAATCCTAGACCATAAGCCCTCTCTCAAATAAGCCTCTACCCTGGTAGTAAAGATTGCTAATAAACCACCACCCTCAAATAAGCCCCCACCATAACATAACATGCAATTTTTATCTCTAAATAAGCCGCAATGGCATTCCCTTTTAAATAGTATCTATTTTACCCTAGGTGAATACATATATATCTAAATATGCTTAACCCAGAGTAGGAAAAATACAGGTTTTGTTGCAATAATTCAAAGATATCAATGTTTGGAGAAAAGATAAGTTTGACAAAGATAATTGAATAGCAGATCAGGCAAAAGATAGATGTTATATCAACTGTAGAAGCATTTTTCCGTTTCCAATTTTGAGCATTCAAGTATAAAAAATAGAAATGTATGGATATTGTCTGCTAACTGAAACAAACAGAACAGAAAAGAAAAACATTGTATCCTTACCCTGAATCATCCTCAACTTCATTGTGGCTTTTAGGTGCCAAAGGGTTGGAATATGGGTCATCTGAAGAAGTGGAGAAAAACTCAGAAAATTCAAATGAAAATTCAATTAGTATGCTGAAGATTATTTCATCAGAAACTGGCAAAAATCCACCACTTACTCGCCAAACCTCTGCCGCCAACTTTCACCCTCACTTTAGTAAGACTGCACAAATATTAGTAAACTTATAGATACCTACTTCTAAATGGGAGCTTTCTACTTTAACAAATTAATGAAAACCCTGACTGTTGATCCTTTAGGAATCCAGCAGGGCTTAATCTGGGAAAATAGTTGTGAGTCATGAGGCAGGTGGAATTTGTTTCAAGTGATGACTGTCCTCACCCTTACCAAGATCTGCATCAAATTATTGGCATGGGCTATTGACTGCTATTTCAAAAACATGCCTTGGCTTGTCCACAAGAGACAAGAAGAGCATTTATGGAAAAGTGCCTATAAAATGTGGTTTTTCTTCAATGAAAGGTCAAGTTGCTAATTAATACAAAACATTGACGTATCATTATTCATTAAAAATTGGCAGTAATTAGGCATTAAGAAAACCAAAGCTTGGGCAATTCCAGGCAGTTGATACCCTTATACCTTCCTCAGACCCTGGAGGAATTCCTTTTGACAAATATTGTTGGACACTTGATTATGGCAAACATGTTGTACTTCATTCTATCACAGTGAGAAATAGCAAATGTAAGCTGCGAAGTGTGAAAAACATTTGAACTGAGGATGAAACATGCTTAGCAAATTTGCCATTTTCAGTGAAAGAAATCCAGGCTGTTGCATATTTCTCAGCAATATATTTCACTCATTACTGATGAAGACAAAAGTGGAAAAATTTATGTGAAAGCGTTTTTATTCTGATATAAGAGATTCATATGACCTAAATTGGTTTAGTTATTTTTTCTGTGCAGGGAGTGCCAAAAAAAGTAAAACTCAAATTTTTTTTATAATGAATATTTTGCAAGAAATCATGCATGAAATCAAAAGTCATAAGTTTAAATGGAGGTATATTCAAAGGAAAAATGAACAGATTTATCTATTAAGCAATATTGCCTGTAAACTCTACAACAGATTCTTAGTAGTGTGCAGGCAAAATGAAGGATGAAAATTATTGCAAGGGGAACAAGTTTCCTCTGAAATCTAAACTTTACATTTTTTGAACTGGTGATACAACTCAGTCCACTAAGCACAGGCATTATGACTTTTCTCAACAGCAGGTTTGAAAACAGAACATTTCTTGCTTTTAGAATAGCTATTATTTACTCAATAATAGTTCCACCTAATTATTTACTTCAACCTAATTTGAAAATGGCTTTGAAAAAAGCAAACATTTTACAACATATTGGCTAAAAGGTTTTTCCTCAGAGCATAAAACGTCAGAATAAGGGACCTCCGCCGAAAGCACAGGATGAAAAATAAATACTCAGTTATGGATAAAAATAGGCCAATCAGAAAAACGTAAGCACAAGAACTGTATAGCTGACTAATCAGTGCCGCGTGCCTAAAGAAAAATTAACACTGGAGTTAAACCTAATTATGACTTTTTATCAAAATAGAACATCGCGTCTGGCTGGTTAGGCCAGGACGAACATTTCATTTCTTGAACAGCTTTCTTTGCTAAATCAACATAGCTCAAAATGAAAAACAGGGAAAATTTTGAGAAAATTCTACTTCATTAAAAGTGCTGCATCCTCTGAAAAAAGTCTGCTTTAAATAGTCAAAACTTACCATCTCGCATCGGCATCTTTGCACTTTCAGATGACCAAAACACTGCGCGAAAAGAAATGTCTTTCGATACTTTTTACATGAAGTTTCTTCCAATGATCCTTTGCGAACTTTGACGAAAACATTGTGAAGTACTTCATGAATGCTTGCGCCAAACTTTGTTTTCCTGTCATTTTGTCCATGTTGCTTGTAACAAGAGACACGTATTTTGTATCGAAAGTAAAAGCCATAAAATAACATTTGCTTTTGCTGTTCTAAAACCACTTCAATAGTGATTGAATGATATTCGGTAAGGATAGTTTTTGCAGCACTTTATGTACCATTATTCGCGCCAATTGTGCGCACCATTATGTAGTAGCATTTATGTATATATGAAAAGTTTATACATAAAACCTCTATTTATTTATGGCACTAATATGAAAAATTACACTTAACGCTGATGTGGCACTAGAAAGGCAATTTTCAGTGTTTTGTGTAGTAGATTTCTGAATAAACGTGAAGATCTGGAGAATTCCTAAAAGCTCCTAAAAGTGTTGATGCAGCACAATTGTATAAAACAAATCCTGCACATCTTCACAAAGTCTGCAAGTCCTGCACAAATGCGAGATCTCCTCATTTTTTCACATAAAAACAAACTGGCTAAAATATGTAATGAATTAAGCATTTATTGTTTATGTCCATACCAAAAGACTTTTTACTTAATTAATTTTCTGCTGAAATCATTTATGATGAAATACTTTTTTATCTGCAGGTGGTCCATCTGAAGTGATTTGGTCTATAATGACCCTAGATTAACCACTTTCAAACTTTTCTTTTGAACAACTTCATTGGACACTTTTGAGATGTTTCAAGCAATTGCTCGGAGATGCAGAAGTATTCAAGACAATGATCATAAAATAGTTAAAGTAGCATTTGAGTTTGCAGATACAGAGAAGAATGGATATCTAAACAAGTCAGAGTTCAAATTTGCCTATTTGGTAGTTTTTGGGTGCAAGCCTTCAAATTTTGATGTTGATGATATCTGGAAAAATTATGGAAAGAAAGTTTCTTGTGTACTGACCAATGATGAGGATGATTGTCCAGTAATAGATTTTGAAACATTCAAGAAAATTGCAATTGAAAGACTCCAATATTCAGATATAGATGATGATATAAGGGAAACATTTCAGGTCATTGATGCAAGATGTAAAGGCTACATTGACTTTACTGATTTCCAGAGACTTATGACGAAATTTCTTCCAAATTTTGACTCTTTGAGAGTTAGAAAGATTTTCAATGAAGCAGACCGTGATAATGATGGGAGAATAAGTTTTAGGGATTTTCAAGTTTTGATGAAAAGTGATAATTGGGAGCCAAATGCAAATCAGCATTTAAGTTACATGCAATGAATTTATAGGCCCATAGCTAAATGATCTTGTACCCAGCCATCAACACTGACAACAGTTTTTGTCTTCCATTTATAAATCCATAATATTTCTTTCTCCTATTGTTTTGAGAACAACTACCCTCTAAAGCATGTAATGATCAAGTTAGGTTTGAAAAAAGGTACTATGTTCTCTTTTTAGACACAATTTTAAGATTACTGGCATCAATTGTTAAAAAATATTCAAATTTTATTGAATGAATGGGTCTGAATGGATGGTTGTAGTTTCTTGTATATTGACTCCAGCAGCAGTCTTGGGGACTGTGGGACTGTGGGGACTGCAAGCACTGTGGGGACTGCATGCCCCTGGCCCAAAACATCTGCAGGGCCCCAACCCCAAATCCCGAAAGATCTGCAGGGCTCTTATTCTTTACGATTCTTTTTTGGTGCAGCACCCCTTCTGGCTACCATAAATTGTTTGACTGGGCCCGTGGCCCTGCCTTGAGCCCCTCCTTGCACTCGTCCAAAAACTGCCAGTCTGATTGAAGGTTTTCCATTTTATCTGTTTTTGATTGAATGAAATATCTAGGCTTGCCCATAATCAGCTAATCTTGACCCTACAATACTGACACAGTTACCAATGAATGACATGCAATGCCCTTTTGAAGTGCACAAACCACTGCAATGTAGCTGTTCCTAGAAATGAAATTTTTTCTGGAATCTAAACATCTAGATCCAGTTATAAAGTTAGAAATACTTATCTTTGTCTCTATGCAGCCCTACAAATATATTTCCAGTTCGTGCCCATGAGACCCTGGGACCCCAATTTCTTACCATGGGCTGGTGTCCGCCCTTAACAGTTTTTCCTAATGGTTGGGATGAATTGCTTTTGAAATTTTGAAATTCCTTTATTCCGGTGCCAATTATAACTTACAATACCGTAAATCCTCGAATTGACCCCCCCCCCCCCGAAAAAGCCCTCCCCTCGAATAAGCCCCCACTCTAAAACTACAAACTGTCAATAAGCCCCCACTGCTACCGTATATTCTCGAATTGGATCCCCCAATTTGACGGCTTTTGCCACCTGAGGTTGCCTATGGAGTTTTATTGAATTACCACGACAAATTCGTAATTTTGGTAGTAATTAGTTAAATGCTCATAAAAAACAAGGTCTTTTAATAATGTCTTCTTCTTGTCTACAATAATTCTATAAGCCCCCCCTCTCGTATAAGCCCCCCTCTCGAAAAAGCCCCCGTCCAAAAATATCAAAAATAAATGAACCCCGATGGGGCTAATTCGAGGATTTACGGTATGTAGTCTGTTTGTAAATATGCATTTCACGTTAAAAAGACAGCAACAACTTTTTATCACAATTTTATTTACAAGCACAATTAGTGTGCACATAATTCGCGTCATTCCCCTATATTACCGCTTGTTTCAAAACCCTAAAAAGGCTGCACGATTATTTGAGTTACAGATCTGCTCTGCTCGTAATTTTAGAAATGGTATGACAGGAATTTGTTTTTCGATGCGGTTAAACGTATGCTTTGTCGATGCCCGATTTAGCTTTCTTTGATCCCTGCTTATTTAGCGCTTTGGGATCAGACGATCATGTTGAAAACGGCGTAAACGTTGCAGAAAACCATTACAGTACTCGCCTCCTCTAATATAATGATACACCATATTCTCCATTATCCATTACTTTTTTATTCTTTGATGTTTCTTAGAACTATTTTTTGTATGATTTCATTTTTTCGGCAACTTCTTAATGAATTGTTGACATTGTCATACATGATCAAGTGTTTCGTCCTGTGCTTCGCATCCTCTGCATAGAGTGTTTTCCTATTTTCCATTGAAGTTTGCGTTAAGTTTTAATAACTTTGTTTTTAAGTTTTAGTAATGGTAGGTACGTCTGCTGCATGTTTACCTTCTATCTACTCTTTTTCTAACAAACAGTGTTTTTTCATTTCTTTTTTCCTCAGTGAAAGGCCGTTGGTCCCTAGCTGGGCAAGTTTTGGATTGTGGGTAGGGGGTTGGCGAATAAAAGGTGGATTTTGATACAGTCTGGCTTAAAAGTGGCTTAAAGTGAAAATGGGACCTAAATTGCCTCTAGGAAATTATTGTAAGGCTCCTGCCCTGTCCTTTTGTCCGCGCCTTTAACTTTCGGCGCTGGATCTACCCGGTTCGACTGTTTTTTCTTTCTTCACAATCCAGCAATGCAAGGGATCTGGTTCTGACTCAGGCGGGGAAAAGGGGACGAAAATACAGTTGACCATCCTTTCCACAATGCCCCTTATATGCTGCTGGCCCAGATTGTTTCCCTTAAAATGCGTTTCTTTGCGCACGAAGAACAGTCCCAGTCCGTGTTACTTTCAGCCAACAAATTACAGATAACTGGATGTTTGCCCGTCCACATTCTTACGACTTTCCTGCAAAGAAATTTCTCACCCTATTCATGGACAATAGCACGTTTGCTCCACACTTTCAAAGAGTCTATATACGGGCCTATACGCTATACTATACATAAGAAGTTTAGCAGTTATATAAGTCCTCTGAGCCGTATTCTGAGCTCTCCAGCTTTATAAAAAAGATGCTTCAAAGAGCTTTAACTGACCGAATAAAAACACAAGAAAAAAGCGGATTGGCTCGATTGGGCAGCCTTCAGTTCTGTAATGACGCATGAAACATTCCTTGTGCCTTTCAGGAATGTCTCAAGCGTTCCTATTGCCAGATTTAAATAGCATTTGGCTTCCTTTGCAATCTGTTATATAACATAAGTCGCTTTTTCAGTGTTTTTCTCGTGAAGATGCATTTTCACGCGATCGTCAACATCTGAAAAATTCTTGCCTGCACCTCTGTCTTGAGTGTCTTCCCCATCGCGCAGAGGATGCAGAGGTATATGTCGCCATATGAATCGCAAGGAAGCTATAGTCCCCCGATAGAAAGAAGATACCTGTGGCGAAAAAGAACCACTGGCCATAGAATGCTTTGTGTGGGGCCAAATGCTGGATGCTTCAGGTTCGTGAAATACCAGCTGCATTTTGAAAACCTGCAGTGCACTCGAGAAGCATCCTTGGAATGAATAGATTGAAAAAGTTCTTAATGTGATCGAATTTCTCTGTTCTTTCGCAGTTAAGAAGATTAATTAACATTGCTTTGAAAGCAAAAATCATGGTGTTCATTCATTTTTCTGTCTTATGCTTTGTTTCAAGTCCGTTATAAAGATGGCTATTTTAGTAAACAGCCAGATTTGTTTACGTAACGTATGGAGTTCTTCTTGCTGGACCACCGTTTGACTCTGATGATATGGTTTCCGCTACTTATAACCGAATTTGTTTTCAAAACCCTAATCAGAGCCAAAACAAACAGACTGAATTAAATGAATGTGTGGAATTTTCTATGTTATTGTTAAACCACCATATTTTTCTAAGTTCCCCTAGCCCCACTGCAACTGAAGCTGTGTATACCGAAATGATAAAAGATGATCAAAATAGATGCAAAAAAGAGGCTGTAGCCTGCCCCGCCTCTGTCTCTCTCTGTCTCTCTTTCATCACAAACTTATTCCGACATGTATCTTGTGTACATCTTTTTCTGGCCACGAATACAGTTTGCCAGATCTCTGAATATCAGTTCAAAAATAAATTCTCAACGCTAAGAAGTTACGGACTTTGTAATAAGGCTTCTGACTTCAAAAATTTCGGTTTTGGTGTAAATATTTTTTTGCTGTCGTGGTAACAAAATATTTGGAAATCTAGTTGCATGGCTACAAGACCACTTAAATTAAAATTTTGTTGAAAACAGAGCTCATTAATTTAAAAATGATTGATACGTTAGAGTTTTTATTAAAGCAATTATTCTGAAACAGGACTTCACTACAGAGGCGAACGTGTTACTTTGATGTGGTTAGACCTCCTTAAAAGCCAGGTTATCATCATCTTAATTTCTTCCAGATTTGCTGAAATTTAAAATCTTCTCCTAAAACTTTCGAAGTTGCCTAAATACCATAATCTAACCTAAAGTACATTTAAGCAACAACAATAATCTTTTTTCCAGTTCTTTACTTCTCCTATTTTTTAGGGAGCCTTAAATTCCAGGCGTGTCCAGGAACGTTGATCTCATCAAGTACTTTCAAACCAGCATTGGGGTCTCATGCACAATTTTCGCAAAAGTATAATTTTTTTAGTAGAGATAGCCCCTCCCTTCCCCCTGTGCTCCCTGACACTGCACCTCTGGTTATTATACCACTGAAAAAAGAAGTAAGTGGTTGAGAAAGAGCTTGAGATGAGGCTGCAGATTCATGAAGTTATTAAATCTTTACTATTGCAAAAATACACCCCCTGTGCAACAAGCCCCGGTAAACTCTGACCGGGGAGTACCCCCTCCCCTGCATCCTTTGCAAGCTGAGCTTTTTGGTCCACAGTCATCCATAGCCTTTGCAAGACAAATTTTTCTGCCCCCCTCCTGCCCTATTTACCTGCTGTCCTCCATGAAAAAAACCTCGCTGGGCTTGTAAAATACTACCACTATAGCGCTATTGCAAAAACACTGAAAAATTCCTGGGCTTAAAATCCAGTGCAAATACTAACAAGAGGGTTTTGATAAGAGAAGTTTCGCCAATCTGAATGTAAACAATGGAATTCAAAATCATTCTTTACAATCTATATAAAAAATTCTTCAACAAACTTCTTAGAAGCCGAGGCATTGCGTGGATATGTCGGAAATTAGCTAACAGGAAAAGAGTGTGTGGGTGAGGTCACTCCCTCGTCCCCAGTCCTATTACACCCCCGCCCGAAACACATACCCTCCTTTTCTTATAAATGCTTGGTATTCACGAGCAATTTTTGACATTCTCATAAAACCTAGCCTGTGCTCCAGACCCTTAACCTGAAGGATAAGGGTCTGGAGCACAGGCTAATAAAACCTAGATAAAGTAGCGAGCACAGGTCTGATGGCTGTGCAAAAAAGTGAAAATAGAATTATTGTTTCCGTTACTCCGAAATCACGCCTTGTCTTCATTGATTTTTGACGGTAGGTTTCTAAAGTTTTAGGTTATGTTTCGTTTGAAGAATTAAAATTTTCTGCACCCTTAATTTTCTGTTCAAGATTGCACTTCAAAAGTTGAACTGGAGCACGTGTACTAGCTTAGCTGTTTTCACCCAAAGAGGAAAAAATCGTTTTTGTTAGATTATAAATTCTAGCGCATAGATGCTTAGGTTTTAGTCTATTCTCATTTGGTTTACAATGGAGGCAGACTTCATGATGACATGTCGAATGCTGGGGTCTCTTTGTCTCCTAATATTTCTTTTTTATATACATTCTCCTCTTCTAGATGGCATCAAAAACAAAAATTATGCTTTTTTGAATTTATATTGCCTTAGGGGGCATGGTACATTTGAACACAGATTAGTTTGGGACATGTTTTTTGATATCCCATGACCCTCACGCGTCATTTAGCTAAAAAGGGAAAACTGCAGTCCACTACTACTTGGGGCAGGGGACACATACCCCTTGAGATGAGAAGAGACGATACCAGTTGAACAACGTCATCATTCTATATCCTTTTGGTTGCGGCACTATGTGGTGGTAGTATTCAATCACGAAACAGGAGACATTTAGAAGATACAGCAGAAACAGAATTGCGATCCCTTGTAAGGTCAAATATCCAATTTCCAATGCCAGAAGGAACCAATACCACTCACTAATGGAAGAAATGTCCTAGTTATTTTCTTCAACCTTTCGATGTACAGTAAAATCGAAATATAGTAAAAATCCGCCTAAAAAACTGTTATTTTCTGTAACAGTCGATCTACTTTGCCTTTACGTTGCTGTTCTTATATTGAAAGTGCTTGATTTGCAAAAAAATCAAGCTGGCGGTTCTTAATCTTTAGTTTTTTTGGTGCAGTTGTTTATTGAATCTTTTTCCCCGTGGCATCATTGACAACTTTGCAGCCAATCAAACCAACGCCCCTAGACCAACAAACGCAGCCCTACCCTCTTCCGTGATATGCTGTTACTCCTCTTTCTGTGATTTCTTAATTGTTTGTGTCTTTTCTTTTAAAAAAGGAACTAAATTTTGTGTTTCCTCGTTTCTTCACAACAATTTAAGCCGGGGGCATGGTGGGCCACCATCTTTGAAAATGGAACAAAACAATTCCGATTGATATGTAACAGGAAGAGAAAAAACGGGATACGCTACAAAACTAAGCGTGGCTACGCGGAGAAGCATCAAGTAGTTGAATTTTTTTATGAAAAAAGATCGCGTAATGTTTTTATTAGCTTGCGTCAAGGCAATGAAAGGAAGTCGCACATCTATAGCCTGACGGATTGCAAGTCCACTAACATTGGGAAGATAGCCATTTAAATTTGATTATTGTGCGTCATTTTGTGCCTACTGGAGTTTAAGAAAAAAGTGAATAATTGTAACAGGTAGAACTCATAGCTAGAGTTCTTATCGAATTTTAGAGGCACGAGCCTTTGGAAAGACTTGATGTGCAAGAGCAAGTGGAGGTAAGTGTTTCATCACTGTATATAAGATAGGGAAGCTTTATTAGACCAACGTGTGTCAGGCTTGAGTGACAGTTGCAAAAAAATGTTTCAAAATGAGCCTCGTCATATAAGCGACACTTAAAAACAATGCTCAAACATAACTTCCGATGTCACTTAATTTGGTAAAAAATATCCCGAGTAAGAATATAAATTGTGATAGCTTGCAGAAAAATAAGATGGTTTAGAATCCAGGACTACAAGATCCAGGTCCTGTGTTTCAAAGGGATCCATAAAAATGTTTATACCTGTGTTGATACTTGTCAAACTTCCCACTTTGTTGATCCACCGACTATATGATTAAAGAAATCGACTAGAGACGAGATGGGCAAGGTTTGTATTTGCGATGCGAATGTAAATACAGAAAACATATGTTAGACAAAATGCTTCTAGGTAAGCAGCTTCTTATCCAGCAGAAAAGGGTATGTTTGTGTCTTTGTAAAAAGATATAGGAATATTGTGGCTTAGTACCTTATGCAGTATACTTTTTTACTCTCGAAATCATGCATACGAGGCTAGAAATGACATAAGCGAACAAACGAATGGTACAACCAACAAGTAATAGAGTTGTCAAGTGATGACGTCACAAAAATCTGTTTTTAGAATTTTTGAAATTTTTCCCATAACCTGAAAGAGCATTATAAAAAATACCCCTAAATCTGCAAAATCAGTTAAAAATATTACAAATTGGCTGAGATATAACCAGATGAGCACAAGCTCTAGCGCCATCAAACCTCTGTAATTTGGTCTCAGTTCATAACTTTATGAACTGAGCCAAAATAGCAGTAATCCGTTAGCAAACTTCAAATCTTCTATTGGCCATAGTTCACCCAATTTTTTGTGAAATTTAACTGATTTTGCATACATGGGAGTATTTTATGATGTTCTTTCGTGTTATGTGGTCAAAATTCGAAAGTTCTAAAAACAATTTTTTGTGACGTCACACTTGAGAACTCTATTGGCCTTTGAGTACGGAAATAGAATTCGCTAAGAAGCGTAAGGTTCAGATTGGGTTGATTGGATTGTGTTCACACAGCTGGTTAACAGCACGTCTTTTTCAACCTCGTTGACCTTAAGATGGAGCCTTTTTTAATCAGTCTGTGAACAAAATAGGCCCCTTCACAGTTTTAGCATTAGAATCTAAAAACGCTTTAAACCGGGAGTTTTATTAGGGGGCGTTTTCTCAGATTTTCTTTTTGCCACGAAGCGTGCTTGTTTTCAATAGGACCGTATTCATCCTGTAGCTATTTTATAATTACTTACCGGGTTAACATGTCTTCCCCATTGCTTAAAGTCATTAATTCAGTCGTACCTTGTTGTCCAAAAGTGTCACTTTTAAGTGTCAACTTGATATTTTTTTCTTGAAACAGGACATTGATCCACGTTCCAACTTATAACTTAAGTGATAAGATTAGATACATATGCATGCTGGTGCGTTTCATTTGGCCTCATCCACTTGATATCCTCCAAAAATACTTGCATTAGACCTATACCGTTCACAACTCTACCAACTTGAAGCAGATTACTATTAAAAAAATATAATATCTTTTAACTTGCAATTAATTCATATACAGAAGGAGGGATTACTGTCCCGCTGTACCATGAATTGACTGTCATTAACAATCTTTACAGCATAACTCATTTCACCGATAGAATTGCAAAAGGTGGAATCTTTTATAGAGAAGCCTTGCAGACAAGAAATCACCAAAGTAGAAGCAATATTTGCAAAAGTATCAGAACAAAAATACCCAGTTGACAAGGTAACTACTGATCACGGTCCTAGATACTTCAGCTGATTGATCAGCTAGTAAGCTAGAACAAACTCCGGTTTCGACAATCAACATATGGATAACTCATATTCCTATCACTTGTTTGTGCACACACAATAGAATAACTACATTCCAAACCTTTTGAACATACAAAGTTAATTCACAACGTTAAATGTAATTATGCTGGGGTCGATAGGGGGTTGATATAACACCGTTATTTTATTAGATTATTAAAAGCTGTTCTCGTCACGTGCACATGGTTCTACTTACAGACACACCAGTTCAATATTCTGGAGAGGTTGTAGACAAATTTACTCGAGGCAAAGCAATCGATAAATTAATCTGCGTTAGAAATGTCTATCATCCATACCTCAGTCAAAGGTTACTGTTATGATGTTTGATTGGCTATTGATATACTCTATCTGTTTCTTACTTTACTCGCGTAAGCCTTTTTTCGATACATCTGGAAGCACAGCCTATTGAAAAAGGGAATTTTTATTAAATTAAGTAAGTTAATTAAGGCTCAGGTGAAATTTCAAAATATTTTGTACTTGGCTTTTTCTCAGATTATTATAGATTTTCAGTTAAAAATTTGACACAAAGCAGTATTTTGCAGCAGAACAAAATTGGTATGTAAAATGCAGGTATTGCTTTCTAGCAAGATCAGCAAAAGGTGTACTCTGAGATACATCTAAATTGAATATAATTATATTCACGCCACAATAGTTTTAATGCGAATGTTTTTTTGAGAAAAATGCTTTGACAGAATATACCAATAATTGAGCGTAATTGATATGTGTATTTAAACAAATGCTGTTCAAACTTGCTCTTAAATTGTTCTTAGTTTAAATTATAAGGCTCATGTTTTCTAAAAATTGGTCTTTTAAATAGGGGTATGTTGCCCCCGTATGTTTCCCCACCCACAAATTTTGCTACTTTTCAATAACATCGCCAATGACAATTCCTATCTTCTCTCCAGTACGTTTACAGGTACTATCAGACAATTCTATAATCTGCAAAATAAGAACCTTGGAAAAAGGTTTTCTAGAGACAAACCTTAGATATGTGGACCTCTTATGAACTATGAAATAAAAAAGCAAAAAATGTCAATTGCAATTACACCAGCCAGATAAGATGAATACTTAGCTAGTTGAACATCTGCCACTTTCTCAAAAAGCAAGGAATATCCCTCTTTTTATTTAACATATTTACTCTTATTAGCTTTCAAAACTAAAATTGACAAACTTTATCTCACCTCTATTTTTGGAGTCTGTTCCTCCTTCCCTTGTTAGGGCATTGCATTGCACTGGGCCTCTCATTAACATACCGAACAAAAATTGGCATCAACCTAAAATTTAAACGTGTGCACATAAACAAAGCCATAATCGGCATGAACTATTATGCCTTTTTTCCTGGAGATACTGCTTTTTTCGTCAATAATGGAAATGCATTTATATCATTCTATTGGCATTTCTTTGCACGATCACAGCAGTATGAACCAAAGGGCCGCGCAACGGGTTCGCAGAAAATGCGAAAGGTTTTCTGCGCAGCAGAGGTTCTTGGTCGTTACGTCATCAGTTTCTGTTTGGTGATGCACGTACTGAAAATGAAACACCATATTGCAGTGATAATCGATTCCGTTCTTCGTCATTGTTATACTCGTGTACAAACAGAAAAAGTCACTTTCATTTCGTATATTTAATGCGTTCAGAGTCCAAGAAATTTGTTATGTTTCCTCGCCAAGAAGCCAATGCTTCAAGTCTTCCACTACCTTCGTGTATGAAGTTTCCACAATAGTCTTACAGTTTAGTAGATCTGGAAAATTCACCTAAATTTATAAAAACTGTTGAAATGAACGCACTACTCTGCTAGACATTTACATCGTATTGTTGACAAGATACAGGAAGAAAATAGTAACCTTGCATTTTGAAGGAACAACCTTAGCTCTGTTTTCAAAGCTGAAGGTGATCAGTTATGTGGTTTCTTAAATTTCTGGTCATCTCAGGGATTGGTTTCTCAAAGTCAGTTTTTAAGGTGGTTTCTTGAAAAACATAATCTGGGTGTAATCGAAGCTCTTCGGAGATTTATTTTCTTGTCATAGTCAGTGGTGAAATGGAGGCACCTGGGGCCCTAAGGATAAACTGAGACGGGGCCATTATTTACGGACTGCAGGAAAGTCCAATCCAACGCTGTAGAGTATGTCAAACACAACAACAAGATGTAAAAACGGTAATTTTTCCCGCTAACTAGGGGAGCAGAATTATGAAGCTTCAGATGAAGAGCCTTTAAAGTTTTTTAAAAATGATGTAAACTTGAGCTAAGTCTAAAAACATGGATACAGAAATAATTTGGGCGCCCCTTTAGGTCGAGGGCACTTGGTTATTGAACTACGCTACGCCGTTAGTCAAAGTTATAGCAAAAGACCCAGAATAAAGAGCTTTGGCCTATTGCTTATTTTTGCTCAATAAAATATTTGCTTGAAGTAAAAACTTTCCAGCATTTGATTGAATTATCATGCTAGTGGATGAAAAGCGAGGCATGCAGCATCCCGCTGCTGTTATGTCTCTGGACTGATCCTGGATTAATTTGTTTTTTTTAGCTTACCCTCGTGTTACACTGTTATTCATACTTACAATCATTATCCACTTCTTACTTATGAAAGTTGTAGTTTCCGTTATCTTCATGAATGCCATTTATTAATTCATGCTGGTCTTTAAACCGGTAACTTGAGACATGAGCAACATGAGAAAGGAGACGAGAACGAGAGAAAGGAGGCTCGTGCTGCTCAAACAAGTTTAGGGGCAAGTTCTGATTGTCCTGGCCCCCAATTTGACAAATACCTTCTTACAGACAATTTGAAACAAATAAGTGGTATCAAACCCATGACATAGATGTACTTAACAAGAAAAAAACACCGAAGTTCAAGTTCTGTTGAAATTAAAATCAATGCCTCATTCCAAGCATTCTGAGTGCTCGAAAGTGACCCGACATTCCTTTCACTGGAGACGAAGAAAGCGTGAAGGATGATCTTTAGCCAAACAAAGGCTCCTGCAACGCGGCCACATTCCAACGTGTTTTGGTTTGTGAGTGTCTCTTGTGATTGGTTTATCACGAAATCACGTGCTTAACGTCATCGAAGACATGCAGAAGCAAAGCGACATCAAAGAGCGTACATCGTGTGAAAATGCTCCCTTATTTATAGCATAAATACGCGTTATCCGAAAGAAAACATAACAACTTGGAGGTTTATTCCAGTAACTAGTTGGCCAGGAAACCAAATGTGGGGCTGTCATTGTGAAAATGCCGCGGCATAATAGTGGAGAGATGCCCCTTCCTCCTGGTTGGGAAGAGGCGAAGGATGTTGATGGAAAAACATATTATGTTGACCATCAAAACCATACCACAACTTGGGTTGATCCTAGAGACAGGTATAGAATACCTTTTGAAATTAGCACAGTTATATTTCTTAGTCTACACTCTTTATAGTAATCAATTTGTTAGTTTATTCGCTTTAAAATTACAACATTAGGCCGTTAGCTTATTGAAACTCAGTCTTCAGGGAATGGAATCAATAACCTCCGTATCTCTTTTGCCTCCTCATCTTAATATCTGATATGCGTCGATAACGGACTTTACCACTCGTTCTTTCATGGCATTTATTATTAAGTAATTGCCTATGAATCTCTAATTTTGTTCTAGAAAAACGGCTGGTTCTTAGTTCAAAGGGGGCAGTTGCTTTTTCTCTGGTTTGTGTAATTCGGTGGAATAAACAGCTTTCAAACGGACCGTTCACATTCCTGAAATTTATTTGTATATCGGTATAGCGAGCATGATGGTTCGTGTGTTTAACATGTCCTTGTAAATGTAGGAAAAGTTTTTTGGGATGTTTTTAAGACACTTTCTCCAGTTCTGCAAGCAGGCAGTCAAAGCTTTGTAGATTTCCGGGGATAGCCCGGTTGCGACCTATGAATGAATTCTTCAAATACTTTCCTAATGATGCGTCGATATTGGATTTTAATGGCGATTGAGAAATGCAGTTATCATCATTTGTGTCATTCTTGGACTAGTCAATGTCATCTCCGTACCAGCTTTTTTGCTGTATGTTTTTAGATGGTCCTGGACCTGATCGCATGAGACATGATTGTGCGAATGAATAGTTTCCTCAACTGACTTGCTGTCTGTTTGCGGTCAGTCACCACACTGAGATGGTTTGCGAACTAACTGAGTAAATATGCAGAGAATTTCCCCTTCTCTGTCAGTTTTTGATTGCAGACAGTTGTTACTAATTCTTTATGTCTATATTTTCTAAATTTTTTAGACTGTTTTTCTGACATCCATCCTATCAGTTGGGTGTTACACTTGTTATTATTTAGAGTTTTGCTTGACATCAGTGGTCTGTCAGTACGATGTTCTGTCCAGGGTGAAGTCACTCCAAAGATCTGTGACAGGCTCATAGCCTTTAGCACAGTTTAGTTATAGTTATAGTTATATATAGTTATACTTATATTCTTCATCTGTTTTCAAATTTTAAAGTATCTCATTTTCGCCCAAACAAAGACCACTAAACCAAAAAAAGAATTCCCTCCAAGTTTGCTACTGTCAGGCAATCTCCCTGGACACTCCTGATTAAATTAGCATTTTTAAGAGCCTTTATGCTCAGACCAGACTTGCACCCCACTTTTTCTCAAATTTATCTCAAATTTAATCAGAGTAAAAAGTGATCATAAAAGCCCTTTCTATCATATTGTCAAAGCATAGGGTGGTCCTTTGATTCCCCAGCTCCCTAGTTTATGCAAGAACTAGAGAAACTATTAGGAAACATAAATTGTAGGTTTGCTCAGTTCAGTATATACAATGTTTTGATTAAATTTGGTCGCTTATATATTGATTTCCAAATTGAAGAAATCTCTTTACATACATTTTTTCTTCAAATCCTTAATCTCCTTCAGCCCTAAGCTCAAATTGATATTCCTCAGCTCTTAGTTTTATCAAGTTCCCTGATAAATCCTGTAATCCTTATTTTAAATGTTGGAGCTAATTTCTGCTACTGCTAGATAAACAAGAGGAAGATATATTCTCAGTTGAGGATGTCCCTTGAATTTCTGCTCAAGTTAAATGTGATAATTTGTGAAATGTTGGTTTTTTTCTGCTGTTAATGAAAATAAACTCTTGCAATTAGGTGGGAGCAAGATTTGGCACAATGCAGTGTTCTCAAATGCACTCTTTGTGTAAAAATGTACAATATTTTGAAATTGGTTTGAACCAACATAAACATTTGCTGCTAGTTACTGAGAAAATGCTTTGCTGCATTGTGTAATTTGCTTGTGAGGTTGACCTATTTTTAGTTCCTTTTCATTCATTGTTAAGCTTGAATAAGCAAGCTATTGATTTTGGGGTTTCCTTTTCATAAATCAAATTCTGGTGGATTTGTCTGATTAACTTATCTAAGGTATAGGCACCTAATCCATTAAAATTATAACTGTGTGTTATGCAACCTTGATAATAGTTTTGTTTAAAAACGAGGAAACACATGAGAAAAGTGTTGTGAGTTTTTTCCTTTGTTTTCACATAATTTAACCCTAATAGTGACTGTAATTTTGACATCTATTATGTTGATAAGAAATATTGTAGTTTTGACACCCATTATGTTGATAAAAAAATTTTGGTAAGATTGTCTTACACACTCAATGAAGGAACACATGCTAATATTCTTTTCCAGGGGTAATATTTTCCTGTTTCATTTAAAGTAACAACTGACCTTTTGTTGAATGTTTCAATGCAAGACAAAATGACAAGGCAATAAAAACACTCAAGACTTCTGCTTCCAATCATTATACCTCCAAAAGATTTGAATACTATGCCATTTCAATATCACATTTGCATTTAACTTTGTTTGATTTGTTTGTTTATACAATTTAATCATTATTCTTTGCAAATGGTCTTCTAAAGGTGCAATTAAAATTCAGAATGGCTGTTTCTGAGCAACAAAGTAACTTAATTCTTTGTTTCCTAGGCTAACAAAGCCATTGACATTTGCTGACTGTATTGGTGATGGTAAGCATGAAATTTTCTTTAGTTTTTTGAATAATGGTGCCTTGTGTTTTGAATGTTTAGAATCACTTATATGGTGAAATTCTAGGTGAAAAAATCAACAGAAATTAGAGCTGGTATTTTGGTATCCATAGCTGGATTTGAATGGAATGTCTTTAAACAAAGAGCAATTTCATTACCATTGGTTGCCTATTAATATATGTGGAGGCCCATAGTTTTATATTGTCTGTAAAAATGACTCTCCTTAGCTATGCTCTTGAAGATAAAACAAAATGTACTTTGTACTGATGTTTAAATAGAGTTTAGTTTCCATGAAATGCTACTGCCTGTTGTACAGGCTCTTAAAAATATTTAGATGAATCTTTGTAAATATATTTTCTTAGAATGTTTCAACGTTATTCTTCCACTTCAGAGTTACCTCTTGGATGGGAAGAAGCTGAAGACCCTATTCTTGGGAGATATTATATTGATCATAATACCAGTAAGTTTTCACCACCACCTTATTTCTTATTCATCTGAAGTTTCTTGTGGGATGTGCTCCTAAGGGTGACTCTTTAAAAACGGAATTAGTTGCAAATGCAGGGTACAAGCTGAGACTATTGGATGTTCTTATTGGAAATTTTGATGTTCAGCAAAAGATTTAAGCAAGTATAGTCAATCCGGGTAAAAAATACGCACGTGTCTCTGCGGGGAAAAAATTACGCACCGCCTTTTCAGCCACGCCCAATCACTTATACCGTTTTGCTTGTGGTTCCCGTATAGCCTAGAGAAGGCCTGTCAATTTGACCTGCTTTTCCCTTTTGTAAGGATTCTTGATTTAGAATAAAGCGGAATTGAATGTTTACCTTGTAAATTGGCCCAATATAATGTTTTGTCGGAAATCATCGAACTTTCTTATTGTCGCGTCAGTAACTGTCAAGCCCACAAAGTCAAGTGTTCTCAGTTGTTCTAAGGGATTAACCTTTTGACCTATGATAATTACATTTGCTTGCTATCTTTTGTTTTGTCTACATGGCATGCGTATTTTTTGGACACACAATTTTTGAGCACATGGGGAAAAATTACGCACTCCTGATGTTGATTGATGTTGGTATGGGACCTATAGAGATATGTAAATATGAGTCACAGAGGCACAAATTATCATGAGATATTACATAAGCTTATATTAATGGGAGTTTACAATGTATTTTTGGCACTTAAGTCATAGACTCGCTTTCATATGCCAAAGTTTTTAATAGCAGACATCCTCGTGCTTTTCAACTTTAAAATCACTTAGAAGCTGTTCAAAACTATTGCTTAACATCGTTACATGGAAAATCAAGTATTATATGAATGTTCTTCATAAACAAGCCTCTAGGATTCATTCTTTTATGTGTGCGTATTTTTTCCCCACCTATCCGCATTTTTTACCCCATTTGATGGGGGAAAAATTTCGCATTAATTTTCTTTAATTATAAGAAGGTTAATTGGATTAGCAAGACAACAAAGGTTTGGTTAACAAGGTATTACCATTCAAGTTTGAAAAATAAAAGAATATTGACAAGATATCTTTTGAATATTTTTCTGGAGCAAACTTTGTGCAAAATGCGTATTTTTTCCCCCAACTGACTATATAAGATTTGAAATTTCAGTGATTTGGATGTTGACAAAGCTTAAAACCCTACTTTGTAGGTAACTGTAATGTTGCACCTCATTAGAAACACTCAGCACTTAAAGAGTTGAACTCTAACAAAACTGTCTGGCCCTTGGTGGTTATGATATGTATACTAATTTTTATGCTTATGTTTTAGTCAATTAAATTGACTGAGATGTCAAACTTGTTTGATATTCTTACATTATATATGCAGGAGGTTTAAGTTTAGTTTTATCGATCTTGTTATTTAGCTAAATTTCTTTGGAATTTTCTAGATCTCAATCAATTTGAAGACCCAAGAATAGTGTGGAGAAAAGAACAAGAAAACATGATACGAGAATATGTCAATAGAGGAAAAGATGACTTACATGTATGTTCTATTTTCTTTTTATAAATGCTTGTCAAATGTTTTTACACTGTTTTTGTTATATCTATTTTCCTTGTTCTTGTTTAGTTCCGAAAGGTCTGGTATGTCAACATTTTATGGCGATTATGTCCACTTATTGCCACTTCTGTTGAAAATGAGCTCTTGCCTGAAAATGTGGTGATGTTATTTAACTTAGCAATACAGATCTTGCTGACTAGATCCTTTTTCCTTATAGGCAAGACAGGACATTCTAGGGGTCAAAGAAAGAAGGCTGCATCTAGCTCAGGAGGAGGTAACTAGCTTGTTACTTTAAAAGATTCGCTTTGCTAATTTTTTATGTCTTCTTCACCTCAATAATTGACTGGCAAGATATGCTGGGATGCAATCCAACGATATTAGATCCTTCCTCTTCAAGCTCAGCAGCACCTTTGTTCTAGGTTAATCTATTTCTATCGTTGTTCTAGGTTAATCTATTTCTGAGCTATTTCATATTTTCAAGGTTGAAGTAATTAATGTTTCTAAACACTTTGGAAAAATGTGACTGAATTAATAACTAAATCATCTATCCTGATTCTGATCACCTATGAATCTATATTCATTCTAAATTTGATGCTGGCCATTTGCAGCTGTTTGTAACACAACTTACTTACTACACGATCTACCAAAGTCTTACTTACTTACTACATGATCTACCAAAGTTTCTTTGTGATATCTGTAATTATAAATGTATGTTTTGTCATGTTATATGTGTTTGATGTGATTGTATTTCCTGTCTGCCTGTCTTTCTAGGTCGACCTTTTAACACACAAGCTAAGCAAGTGGGACAAATACAAGAAGCAGGCCACAAGCACATGGAGTGTTACAACAACAACATCAACATCTAGTGTAGATAGGTATGACCCAGAGCAATTGAAAGAAGATATAAATAAAGCAAAACAACGGGTAAATTTTTCAATATTTTTCCTGTTTTCAATAGCCCATCTGTTCATGACTGTCTAGTTCAGCTACTCTTTTTCAATCACTTTAGACTCAGTGAGAGTTGTGCTTGGAACCCTGTGGAGAAGTTTATTGTTTTTGAAAAAAGTTTCATTTGAAAGATAAACCAGCTAACAGGAAATTTTGGGTACCATTAGGTTTCCAAGGCTTTGGATTTATGAAACTAAAAATAGAGAAAATGTTTTTATGTGATTTCTCGTTGAGAGTGAAATTTTATAGGGCTGTTTTTTCTGTTAAGAATAAACTGAACTAAACAGATTGAAAAACTTTAGATGTGTATATATATATTATATATTATATTATATATATATATATATATGTGTGTGTGTGTTCTTCTTTTTGTCAACTTAATTAATCATAAAGTGCTTGGATTGATAGTAGGAAAGATCCCTAGACTTGCAATAATATGGATGTACAGATAGAATTTAGTATGAAATATTTTTGTTACAAAATTTGAAAAAAGCGGGAAGTATGGAACAATGCAGCACTGTATGGCTATTTCTCTTTTAAAGACTATCTAGAACTTTATATTTTGTTTTATTTTTAGGTAAATATGTTGAGACAGGAGCTTCAACATGTGTCTGAAGAAGTGAGTTTGCAGCAACAAGGAATTCGAAAACTGGAAGAGATCGATCATCAGGTGCATCGTTTTGGTACTCACCCTGGAGATGATAATCAGCTGATAGCTGAGAAAATCTCAGCTGTTAGGCACCAGCTTGAAGTGGGAGAACGAGAGAGACAGGAGCTCTTGAATAAGCTTCTGGGAATGAAGAATAACTTCAATTTTCCTGAATTGCCAGGTGAGGTTTTGTCAAAGTCTTGAGGCGTTTGGATACTGTCTTTTGGTTTTACTTTCCCTGTTTTAATGAAAATAAGCTTTTTTAATCACTATAGTGCTAGCATAGATTAACTTTCCCTTGGCTGATGGATTTTTCCAATGTTTATTTTACTTGCCTAGACATTCTATTACAGTACCTTACCTCTGTGACTAGTAACCAACTACTTTAGGCAATTTGCCATTTTGATTCTTTATCCTTTTTTCCTCACTTAAAAAGTGTATTTTTGTTTATAGAGAGTCAGTTAGGATCTATGACAAGCCTCGCGTCAAGCAGCGGACCCCCAAGCCAAGCAGGATCGATGATCGACCTGTCTACATATGGCGAAGGCCGCCAAGCACGCAAGCTAATCCGCCGAGATCATCTTACTGCTTTGCAGCGAATCACAGAAATTGAAGGCGCTATTGAGCAAATTAACCATTTCATCGCTTCGACAAAGTATGGACCGGATCACCAAAGATACGCCCTGTTAAAGGAGAAGGAGAAGCTCCTCTTAGAGCTGCAGCGGTTTGAATTGTATGTCAGGACCGAGGAAGAAAGAGTAGGTTTATCATGGCCTTATATACTTTCACTAACATGCTTATCTGAAAACAAAGAATTGTTTAAAGTAACACTGATGTAGCTTTTTCATGACTCAATTCTTTTACATAAATAAATTCTGAAGGTTTATTAGCATTGGCTCTCTTCCCCGATTTTCAAGATAAAAAGAAGAATGTTGCGGTTTCATTGTTCCGAGTTGGTCCTTGAAAGAAGCTGAGGACCCTTGTGTCTACCTACGGCAGGCTCAAGAAGGAGCATGTTAACTGGAGTCACGCGTAAAGATGATAAAGGGTCTAAGAATCGTTTATGCTAGATATATTTATATACTGCCTTTTTCAATTTGATCCAAAAAATGTTGTTATAACTCAAAGTTTTTTTTGGGCCACAGTTCAAATTGAAAAAAACTCTTTCTTATTGAAATGTTGACTTCTATGATACTTTTTCTGTTGAAAAAGCTTATTGCCACAACTTTATACTCTTCGATAAAGGTCTTCCACGCGTGTTTGATTCAGAAAACAACTTGACCTTTTGAAAGGAATTTTGTTCGATCTCTGTCTTGTAAAATGATTATAGGCAATGAATCCTGGCGCCGTTGTTATTTTCATCACAAGACGTATATTGTCCCTGGTCGCAGACAGTAAAGTAATCATGTTCCTATTAAAAGCATACACTCCTGGGACAAGATTCTTTGAATTCTTAACAAAGATTTTATGGAGAACAGCAGGACATAAAAAAGCTATTGGTTTCTTTAATTGGGTGAAAAGATGCCGATATTTCGCCTTTGACGTATTTACATTGTTTTGTAATTGGGGCCTTTCCTTGCATTATACCCTAGGCCTTTGTGCGTTGAGATACCCTCGTTGAATCCTGTTCTCATACAACCAAAGCAGTCTGGCCCAGCCTAAATAAACTTTGAAGTAGCACCATATTTATGAATGTGATTTATAATCATTTGAGCCAATCGCACAATACCAGGCCGCTTTATTAGTTGGGATGTAAAATGGTGAATATGGCATAATCTAGGATGAATCTGAACAGCGTCGTATATTGCTTTTTTACAAATTTAATCCCTATGAAACTGGTCACTAGTTCTCTGTTAACAGTGTTCCCGAGTGAAACACGGAGGCTAACAGACACGAAGCAATCTATCCTCGCGCGGGCAATGCAGCAGAATTTTGTCACTGGCACTTCGATCGAAGTTTAGTCCTATTAGGATGCGTTCTATTAGCCATATTGTTTTGTTCATAGATGTACCACTTTAGGCTGCCTTTTCAGATTGAATTTAAATGAATTGGCTGCACTATTAAAGTTTTCTGTCAGCCCAAATTTCAAGACACATTTTATTAAGCAACTTTTAATGATTTAGAATTCCTTATAAAAATGTGTGCAAACATATTAAGGCAAAATGTAGCTTTGTTTGTCAATAATGGTGCATTTTCAACGAATTTTAGATACAGTTAGAAGTTGAGCGAGAAAAACTCTTGTTAGAACTTGAATCAGCGAGAGAGTATTCATCAAAAGTTATGAAGGATCGTCAGCAACTCGAAAGAGAACGAAAGCGACTTCAACACATGCTGCATGAGAAAACGAGATTAACTAACATGTTGGAAACTAAGCTAAAAAGGTAATTATTAATATTGTTTTTACTGTGAATATTTAAAGATTCAGAAACAAATATACTATTTCTAAATGCTTTACACGATAGTGCATTATGGGTCTATAATATATAGTTTCTGAGTGTGCCAGATTAAGGGGGATGTAAACAGTGGTGATGTAAACAAAATGTTTTAAGATGACTGGGAGCTTCAGTAAATCATAAATTGATGCAGTTGCATTTTACAAAGTGGTGTGTCTGTAGACTAATAAAGAGAGATGGCAATAGAGGAATATTTTTGTTAGAACGATAAAACCAGAGTCATATCAACACAAGAAAGGGTTTGATTTTTAAAGAGTTTGTGTGAACCTTTTCTACTAGGTTTCCTCTAAAGAGCTGTTGCCCTTCGTCGATAAAAGATTTTATAATTCACGCAACAAATTGGGTTTCAGAATAAACAGACATTTCCCATCATGTTTCAAAATTAGAAATCACGATCCTCGACCACAACCACACAGTGTACCAGGGCCCTAGTCAGTTACCTTTCTGTCTTTGGAAACTAACTTGCATTTCTGTCATCAAGTTGCCATCTACCAATGATTGTACTTTCACCAGAGAGACCTTAAAGCTTGCTCCAGCAAAACACAGCCATGGATGTATTATATAACATTCTTTGCTAAGGTGATTTAGTGGAAAGTCGAAGATAAAATTCCCATCGCGCCATCAGCCTAAATCCTAAGAATTTCATTAACAGTAAAACAATACGAATATCTTCAAAGCCAAGTTTCAATTACAACGAAACCGCAGCTTGTTAATGTATCAACATCTTCAGAATTTTAGCAACTAACTAATTCTCTGTGACTAGCTCGTTTGTATTTTCGTCGCGGCGGTTTTAAGTGTTAGATTCCGATTTAATGAATGAGCTTTCTGTTCAGGACGTTTTTCACGTCCTTGGGCTTTTATTGAGACCCGTTTATCGTATTAAATAGGAGTGGTTTTAGACGCGAATGATATTTGAACCGTTAAGGCAAAGATTCGCTGATTTAGGCCCTAAGAATTCAGAATATGTACAGATCAGCCCTGTTTCGTCGAGGTTGATCGCACCATATTCGGTTCAGTGAATATTTCTGTGATTCAAGTAAGATAAGGCCTTTCCAGCTCAAATTTTCACATAGGTTTAAGATTTCTTTTGACTAGATTAATGCATTTCGCATGAGCTATTTCAGTGAAGTAGTCTTGTCACCCTGCAACGGTTCAGGGAAAACTTTGTTGAAATATCAGAACCTTTCAGCCCAATAATGACTCCTCCTATTTCTTTTTGTTTTGCATGCATTGGTCGATTAAAAAATCTAGTGAGCAAACTTAAAGTTGTAATAATGCAAAATCCTCTATTATGTTTTTTCTCAAAGATCGTAATTTAGGCCACGCCAAGAGGCCAGTAACGCCAAGAGGCCAGTAACGCGAAGACGATTTTTGCGGAGATCGTGATTGATTACTTTCGTAAGGCCCTTTAGCGTACTGACGCAAAATGCCCACGAAGAAACAGCGTTCGATTAGGTTATCATCGCTGGTGGCACTATCAGCCTAGAGTTTGCAATAACTTTCTAAAGATTGCTTTTTGTTCTATCTTATTAGAATTAGATTAGGCTTTGGTTTGATTCATGTTGCACGGTACAACGAAAATCATTCCACAGAAAGCTTTTCCTTTGGCACACCACGGATCATAAAACATAAGCGTGTTTATCAAAATTAAACTTGTTTCTTTAGGGCTACAGTAAATATTGATTATCCTCAAAACGTTGTGATGATTTTGATCATGAAAAAGTTCGAAAAAATAAGTTCTAATATACCGACCAGCCATGCTGGACCCAAGGACAGGCCCATTGTTGGACCCCTTTCTCCCCATGCAATAAACCTAAAATGCATTGATATTGATTTGAAATGCGTAGAATACTTCATTTTCTTTCAATTTATGTTTATAGAGCGTCATTAAACATTCCCAGTACAGTTGTGATTTGTAATTACTAAGTTATAAGGAGTTGCATTTCAAATTCAGACAGTTTAATAACCATTGGGTCCCTCTTTGCTTACGGGCCTATGAGACATTCCCCCCCCCCCTTGTCCTTCTCTCAGTGGGCCTTAGAGACAGTACTTTTTTGCTTAATTTGCCGAGGTAGAATGGCCTCTTACCAGGGTTCTTTTTTGATGTTGCCATACGTCTTCTTTTCTTGGGTCATGGTGATAAAGAAAGAATATTCAATGGTATACCCCGATATTAACTATTATCATTATATCTTTATAGTCTGTCGACAAGCACTCTTTCGATGTCATCTACCTCGAGTCACGGGTCAATGTCAACAGGAAGCAGGTACTCTCTGTCAGCGTCAAGTAGAGGCTCTCTCAACTCCCTCAGTCATTCGGCCAGTAATCCAGACGGCCTTCATCTTTCGAGCAGTAATGAATATTTCCCGTCGACTTATCACACAGTCTCAAATCAATGCCCACCGATATACGAGACTACAAAGCTAGAGTCCACCGGTTCAGGCGCCAATACGTTAACAAACAACAGCCAATCAAAGGGCTCATCGTCTTCTAAAGATTCCGTTTCCCTGTATTCAATATCCCCTCCTATTTCGCCTCTACATTGTGACAAAGATAGTTTGCAATGGAACAAAATTCCCACGGGATCATTGTATCAAAATATGCAGTCACGTGGTGAACACGGCCAGTACAATGACACGAATCCCATAGATAGAATTCAGGTTTGTAAAACTTTTGCTGCCAATGAAGCTACTTTTATACTTTCTTGATATAATATATTTTTAATCAATGTCACTCGAAAGCATTATTTTGTGTATACGCCAGTATATACATTCTAATAATAGTCTCTTACAGTTTTTCATAGAGACCTTAGAGAAAGTCAAGAAATGTTTCCTCCAGTAACGGTCTGAATTCAGCTTTCAAAAATGATTCAAATCCCCTGACCAATTTTTCTACTTTTACTGTCTGAATGATTCTGCTAAATGTTAGGCCTTTTCCTGTAAGTTTTTTAGGCCATATTTGGCACTGTTCATAAAGTGGTTTTGGAGAGTTAACTACTTTCGAAAGGTATTGCAGAAATCTTTCGTTGTCTTTATCCTCCGTTTGATTTTTCTTTTCTAGATGGACGCTCTTGTTAACAGAATAGGAAGACTCACAATGAACATCCAATCTCCTGATATGATTGCTGCGTCGAACTACATGTCTTACAGAGGGCTGGTAACGAATGGAAGTGAACAGCGACCCGACATGAAGAGCCAAGTGTATGCAACCATGTCTGATGAATCCGTTGCTGCGGATAGCGGGGTGTTCGAAGCTCACCATAAAGAAATTTGTAGGACATATAGTGGCAATTCTGTCGGATCTCTATGGTTAGATTTGTTCTCTTCTTTATACCATTGGTCATCCAGTTGCTTAGTTATCCAACTCAACTCCATAACGATGCTTCTCCTTAGACAGCTCTGGTATAACTGAAAAAACTTTATTTTTCGAATTTGTAACCCGGGCAAAATACCTCAGCAGGGTGGTTGTGGTTAGCCCAACTGAGGTTGACAGATTTTGCAACTGGTAAAACCAGCCAAACGCACGTACGGGAAAAGGATCGATGATTACCCAGATCAATGTAGCTGGCCATGTAACTAGTTAAGAGTAATAGTGGAGTAGTGGAGTGACTTTTTGATAACAGGGTGACGCTCTTGTTAACAGAATAGGGTGTCATTATAGCATAATGTGTGGCACGCTACTATTAAACAACAAGTAGGCTGGGTTATATACACACGTGTACCCTTCTTTGCTATACTTGGCCCAGCCAAAATTTGTTCAACCATGTCGGCGGTTTTGTGAGAGTTAAAAGAGTCATAGTTATTCCCGCCAAAGTATCAAAATATATCGCAAGTATGGAATAGATTGCCGAAAATTAGTATAATTGTGCTTTTTGACTTTCCATTTTCGAAGCCATTCACATAACTTTTATATGTGTTCCAATCCAGTTTTAGCTCATTTATCTAAGATGTGCATTTGAAGTTTGTTCAGCATTGTTCATTATTTCATGTACAATTTGACTATTCATTTATTGCTAGTTCTTTATACCATGCAAAGATTTACAAACCTATTTTCATCTCTTTCAGGTATTCGGATAATGACCAATTTGATGCAGCTCAAGTAAAAATGGCATTGGAGTAAGTTTATTTTTATATTGTTTTTTATTTGTTCACGGTTCGGAAGTTGATATTTTAGTCATTTTAGTACTGTCAGCATTTTTATTTTCTCCAAACCTGACTAGCATTAGATTTATTTGTCTGTTTCTTTTAGGTATCAGCTGGAGCAGAGTAAACTAGTGATTTCGATAGAGAAAGGCAAAAACATAAACCATCTCTCATTCAGCCACATCACTGAAGTGTAAGTCAGAGTTCTGTATTCTCTTAGCCTCCTGTAACACAAAATGTCTCTACATGAATGTGTGATGACCAAAGCTTAGTAGACTTAAAGAGACTACACTTCTACTTCTTAAATACAGCCTTGGCAAGCATATATTTGAAGGCAAGTTCTGTATGATGTCCAACCTTATGGAAGCAGTATCCTGTTGATGTTGCCCTATCATTTGGTCTTTTAATCGCTTCATGTAGGTTCCATAAGTGGTGCAAATCTCTTTTAATCACCTCATACGTCAAACTGGTGGAAGCTGTTCTGTTATTCACGGCTTTAGTTGATTGTAGCTTGTGTAAAGATTTTGTAACAGACTTGATTCTGGTTGGCTGTACTCTGCGTTGCAGTGGCTCTTTATGACAATGTAGCCCCCGGGTAATAACATTTGTAGAAAATTAGAAGGCTAGCTTCTGAAATTTCCTTGTACAAATGGGTAGGTCTCGCAATGTATGACAAACCAGGTTTCAACAAAAGCCTTAACTTCTGCAACACTGTGTTTGTTTGATTCATACAAACAAAATCATTATAAATATTGAGCAGAAAATTGAGCAGAAAGGCAATCCCTTTTATCCTAAAATTTAAAACTGTGGGATCAAGCTTCTGTGAGTGCCTTTGTCAAAGTCTATGATGTCATTTAAGATCTGGTTTCTTCTATAAATTCAGATTTTGTTGGAGTGGTCCAAGGCTGTTGACCTTCGAGCTTTGAGGTAGTCTGGTTTCTGAGCGTGACCCTGGTAGAAAATCATGATGAAGTGCTGTAATTTCATGACACCGTGTCCTCTCTACATAGACACCACATGAGAGCCAACATCTCCTACACTCGTATCCTAAGGGATTTTGCAGCCATTTCCCTGAGCCTATATTCCTTTTTCGAGTCAAATTATATTCCAGTTTCTGATCTGACTGCAGATCCTTTCATGTGGCAGACCCTTGATAATACTCAGTATGATTGGCCATTATAAGTCATTTATGGTGATGTTTATGATTCAGAACCAGCTTTTCAGTTTTTGTTTAAAAGTTCTGCTATTTTAAATTTGTTCCTCAATGTTGTCTTTATGATTTAGGTTCATCAAAGGGACACTTCTGCCTTACGATGCCGTTGAAACCGCGTGCTTCGCAACTCGTCGCTCCAGTGATGTCAGCCAACCAGTATTTAACGACCAATTCATACTGAAAATTCCCAGAGTAAGTAATGTTTTCGTTGGTTCCTATAGTTGCCTTGCTGCTAGGGCCGTCACCACGTGGAGGGAAAGGCTGTATAACCCCCTTGGAAAAAATTATTTTGCAGAAATGATGAGTTGTTTTGCCATGTAGGAGTGGTTCGTCGGCAAATTTTCTGAAATGCCTGTATTTGAAAGAAGGCTCCACCATTTTGTCTGAAAATGCTACCCGAGCATCCCCCTTGAGCACAATTGCTGGCTGGATCAGATATTCGTTATCAACATCAATTCTCCTTCAGTCCACTCATTCCTTAATCTTTCCCGTTAATCCTAGCATTCCTCGTAAATTTGATTCACGCAAACTTAAACCATAGGCAAACACTCGGTCTAACATCTTGAGTTGCGTCACGGTTTTGTTCGTGATTTAATAAATCTTTCAACTTACCATCGATCGGGTATATTGTTTCTTAGAATCTTAGCGTCACTTATGAGTTTCTCTGAATGATTACTTGGCTCAGAAAAGGAAAGGCAATATATCTATTGATTAACAAAATTCTTGTTATTTGATAACTTGTGTCTAAGATTAGGAGGCTGTTTTCAGAAAAAATAAATCTTGCATTACACTGGGGCGGAAATAATCTTTTATTAAGAGTAGCAGTGCTGACTTAAGTTGGTAATTTATCCTCAATTTTGAATACTTTCAACTCATTCTCATTTTCAAATGAAAATGATTTTAGTGTTTTAATGTCACAGTTTGTGCGACAAAGGCATTGTTTGCATTGACCCTTTATCGATTCGTTACTGCTAAAAGAAAGAAAGGTTTCAAAGAATGTAAACAAGCATTTTCTCAAATGCATTCCCGACATTTGACAAAGAATTTAATCGGGGGAGGTCCCTAATTTTCCCCTTAAACCTATGCTGACATTGTACCATTAAAAGAATTTTTAAAGTAAAAGAGGAAATTAAGATTTTGGGAGATCCTTGAAGATGAAAATCATGCAGGCGGTTAAAATTCTTCAGACTTACTGGGATTAGCCTTGTTTCGGAAAGCCCAATCAGAAAACATTTGATATTAGAAAGAGCGGTGGAAAGAGCAGCAGACCTGGTTTCAATAACCAAACGGCCGGCTTAGATCGTCTCAGCCCAAAGGCTGCACCTTATTCTGCGTTTTGATTCTTAAACAAACATCCCGAGCCAGCTTGGATCTCAAACAAATTTATAAATATTTTATATTTGATAAGGAATCTTAATAAGGAACTTGAACATAATCACAAGGGTGATCCTTTACAGTGCCAGTACCGTGCCATTTTACAATGTTAAAAATATCTGTTCGGTTTTGATAAATGCCAAGTTTTGATGATTATGTTATGTTCACTTTTTAGACGGAAGTGCTGAACAAAACTCTTGAACTTAGGTTATGTGCAGTGATTGATGAAAGCAGTACTGAGTATTTGGTAAGAGACTTCTCATTTTCGAAGTAATCGTTAACTATCTTGTCCGTTGTGCTTTCCCATTTATTGTTTGTCTCAACTTATTTTTAGGTTTTTCATCTTTCTACTGTTCAATCGATCTATGTCTGATTTTTTTTTATGTTCCATATAATTTCCTGTTTGAACGTATTTTGTGGTTTTCTACAGGGTGCCGTGCGTGTTCATCTAGCAAATGCCAAAAATGGCGCAGGCTTCAAGTGGTACACATTCCTCAGTAACAGAGTGAGTTTGTTAAACTCTTATTTTCCTTGAAGTATCGGTCATCTACGGACAATTCCAACAAATTTTTTAGCCATTTAAATATCCTAAATCAAGTTTTAGATATAATTCTTTCCGTTTTAGCTGATCAAGGTAAAGAACGGGGTGATGCTGCCAATGTCGGTTTCTCTTGAGAATATGAAGCGAGCGACGGATCAGCAAACATCTGTTGATGCGGAGGTGGATTCTACACGACTGCGCTCGAGTTCATGGGTAAGCAACTAAGCATGCATGTTTTTAGAATTCGTCATCGAAAAAAGTACAGAAGGCCTAAGGAGATTCCAAAAAACAAGCAATGAAGTTTTAATGAAGAATTCTGATTAAAGGTTCTTAAAAAGCAAAAGGTTCTTAAGGAAGTTTTGTATTTTTGTACTAAACTGTGACGTAAGTTTTTGCAGAAGTGAAAAGTACGTTGAGCAGTGCAATTTACCAGACAGAAAAACAGCACTGCATCTCGTTACAACGTCACAAACCTAACACTATAATTTGTGCATGCGTAATCTCTCAGGTCTCGGTAGGTTTTGATATGGGTTCTTATAAAGCAAAGTTGAAGAAAATCCATTTTCTGGCCTTAAAATCAACTGAAAATGTTTATGAAACCGTGGCAGAATACAAATATCCGACATGAACAGAAGCGTTCTAGATTGATTTAAGAAGATGGTGCATAGTTTTGAAATTTCTTAAAAACAGTAATGTGGCTATGTTTTTTGCTATGGATGCCTCGAAAGATGCCCACAATTCAATGCACTGAGACCTTTTGAAAGCAATTTGGTTAGGCGAAGGTCATTTCGGTGGGTTGGATTTCAGTAGCCAGTAAATTATAAGGTGCAAAACGAATTCAAGAAGGTGGAATTTATTGAGGTTTATTGAAGTTGTACAGAGATTAACCTAAAGCGATTGGTCACCGTTAAGTTTACAGTGGAATGCGTAATAAGAAACTTGTGGGATCGACCAGGCTTCGTCGATCGGGATTCATCAATCATGTGACAGAAATTCGATGCCTCTCATTCGATTATATTGTATTTTCAAACTTATCTATCTCCTGGTGGCGCTAGCTTGGGTACTGCAGTGCTAAAGCGGTCTGACGGTGGACGTTATGGTCTTTAAATTTGTAAAATAGTGCATAAATGGCTAATACTTTGCTAGGTTGTAGTTTCTGTATAAATTTATCGATTGTCTTCCCTGTCCCTAGTTGAATTTTGACTTCTTGCCATCTGTTCCCCGCTAATTCAACCAGAAACTAGCATTGATTTAAGAAAATGGGTTTTCTGACAGTAAGTTGTTGGGGGAGGGGGTCGAGTTGAGGTACTACTTTTCAAACGGGATTCACCTTATGGGGTGTTCATTATCAACATCATAATCACCATATTTGGTGCTTCGATTTCAAAAGTATTGCTAGTTTCGTACACAGATATGTTCGGGGATGTGATAATACAGAATTTCTAAGAATTTCATTTTGCCGCAACAATAAAAAAATATTATAAGACTTCATCAGGCGAATGAGACAAGATATAAGTTGTATACTGACCAATTCTGGGAAGCCATGGATTATCTAATCCACATATAAGCGCTGAACTTAACTGGACTAAAGATCTTCGGAAAATCATGTGTTAAATGCTGACACTTACCTTCTACAGTAAAATCGTATGCGTCATTGTTAGTCCATCCTTAAAGATTGCTGAAAAATATACATATATAGATATTTAGTATAAATTTTTTCAAAAGTTTAAGTCGTTATAAGATATATATAGTTTTAGATAGCATATATGCTGTTGGATTGTGTAATTTCTCCATGGGCTGGTGATATTTATGCTGTACTTCAATCCACAATCCACGGAGAGAACCTTTCCTTTTTTCGAGAACCTAACGTGTATCAAACAAAGTCTGAGAGATGGAATAGGAAATATATTCCTGAAAGTATTCCGAAGAAATGAGTTTCTCTATCGTCAATTGATATAAACCGATTTTACGACAAATCAGCCCGGTCTTTGTTTTTAGCAACGTTTAGAGATGCAAAAATCAACCTTCCTTTGGATCATTTCCTGTAAAAGATGTCTAACACCAGTTGTTTTGCAGGGTGGTGGTGGCATTGAAATGTTACACACCAGAAATGTATGCTCTGAAGCAAGGACCAGTCACACACACGCAACCAGTTCAGGGGACAAAAAGGAGCAAAGCAGTTGTGGTGAGATTTTGCCGGATGGAAGTAACCAGGCCTCAGAATCATTTGGAAGATCCTTATCTCAAGAAGAAGTTATTTCAAATAGAGCAAACGGTGTGGGGATAAACAGTCGAAATAGTTTGCTGCGTAGCTCATCTGATTGCACGGGAACGAGGCGTCTGGTACATCCACAACCGCTTATGTCTCGTTATAATTTTGAGAGGAGGAGCATACGACGATCAAAGGTAATCCTATATCCCTGCAACTATCCCTACGACTATCCTGCGTCGTACCCCGGTGATATTGTCACTTTTTCTTAGGGTTGCCCTTGTAGAAATTGTTTGGTTTTTGTCCTTCGAGTAGCATGGATTCCGGCTGTCTAGATGTTAGAAGAGAAATTAAAACTTAGTAGAAGTTGTTGTTCTGAATGCAAAGGGCACAGAAGGTTCTGAATACCAAAGATAGTTGTAATCGTAGTTGTCCTAACCCCGGCAATGATTTTAATTAGAAGAGGCTTCCTGGATGTTTTGCCGGCAAGTTCAAATCTTACGTTGAACATAGTTGCAAAAAATGTATTCTCATTTTTCAAAACCACTAACTAGAATTTCTGGAAAGCTAGAATTTTAAGGAATTTTCAAGTCTGAACACGAACTGTTTTCATGACAAATTATCGTTATAAACGTCGTGCGTTTGCCAAAATATTTGACCCCAGGACCACAATTGTTCAGGCCCGAGAATCACTATGATATTCTCAATTGTGGAACATTTTGGACCAAGAAGTTATCCTCTACGTAGCCGAAGCTGCGGGCAATTCAGAAATTAGCAATGCGGTCTCTTGGTACTCGAACGTTAGCAAAAATTGTCTCTATGTCTGTGGAATTTATCGTATGACTTTGTACTTATAATCTGACAAATCTTATAGCACTTGATGAGCCCATAGTAGTATCAATGTATTATGCTTCCGATTTTCCTTGCCATTCTGAAACCTATAGAAGTATCTTGAAGAGAAATGCAAAGAGAACTTCCTGTTCGAATCAGCTAAGATAGCCCCCCCCCCCCCCCCCCCAGGTCTAGTATTCTCAATTATTGCTAGCCTTGCGATGCTCAGCGATTTCTCATTAACTGACTTTTAATATTTCTAACAAGCTTTTCATGATCTTTGTTTCTAGAGACTGGCAGAAAAGCAAGCGCAAGCGATTCAACGACGACCTCGAATGCCAACACATTATGACCTCGAGATGGAATTACAGGCGGCTTATTTGAAACAGGTATTTTATGCCACATATCATTCACAATTTTTTTACGTAGAAGATGTTCTTATGGTTGTCTGTCATCCTCCGTCCGGATGTAATGCACCGCAATATTTTTGCTAACTATTGAGGCCACCTTCCACAGTCACCGAACTCTTGAGTACATTTTTTGTTGTAACAAGGGCCTGGAATTCAATCCTCTGAAAAGTTATTGCCTTGTTGTTTTTCTGCAACTTCTCGTGGGCTTTAAAAAATGCACCGGTTAAGTGCTATTTATATCTCGCATAATCTCTTCTTTCTCTTGTTTCATCGTTAACATACTTGGCAGTTGATTCTCAGAAGATGAAATTCTTACAAACGCTCACTGAGATAGCCATTCTTGCGTGATTATAAGCTGAAAGTCCAATATGATGGGTCAGTAATGGCGAAAGGTGTTACGGCGAACGTCTGGTGCAGTTTGAATAAGCTGTTTTAACAAAATTTGTATGGATCTGAAGTAGGAACATTTGACCTAGTAGAATAGATGTGGGTACATGGCAATGATAAGTGACAATTTCCTGTATTTGAAATATGGCTTTTCCTTCCCTGTAAAACGGTACGTTTAGGAAGCTGTAAGCTTTCAAGCTGTGACATATTTTCTCTTTATAAAACCATGAAATTAAATGTCCACTCCAATTGCTACGAAAGGTCTTTTCTTAGAAATGCTTTTCTACGCTATGTATAGCTCCTCTGACCTCCAGCATTCTTTTTTGGTCCTGAGCTAGATTGAGGGACCGAAAGAAATGGATTCCCTCCCTTAGTCTTTTAAATCGTGACTAGATTTCCACTTATCTAGAAGTTATGTCATCATGATACGTGCTGCTCTGTGTCATCCATTAGTTTACTCATTATGACCTCTGTATTTATGTTGTCAAAATTTGTAATTTCTTGTCGATAAATATACTGTCTTTTCATTATAAGTTTTTTTCGCCAATACAAAAATATTTTGATATTTCCATGTGATTTCTCTGTGTTTTGGGGGCAGTTTTTAACCTGGTCTGTAGTTGATCTAATTTCACTATTATAGTTAAACATAGGACAAAACGCAAAAGAAATCAACAAATCAAAGAACTTTGTTAAATAAAGTAGATTTTATGGACAGAAGGTCTGTGTAGCATCGAAGAAGTATTGTCTTCAAAATGTATCGAAAGAGCCTGGGAAAATGGTAGTTTTATACTTTTTCGTTTTTTCAAGGCCCAGCTAACGGAAGAAATTAATAGACTGAAAGACATCAGGCAAGTCATGGAGGATACGAAAATAGATGGCAGGAGAAATTTACCAGAATGGGTTGGCGAAAATAAACAGTTTAGAAAGCTTATGGAGACGGCAGAACACGAAGGACGCAGCAGTCGAGGGGAAGTGTTTCCTTCCCAAAGGAAATTCACTGCATTGATGAAAACAGACCCTAGCAAAGCTGAGAAACTGGACTTCAGGTGCGTGTCTCGGGGAAATTTCCGTGAACGTGTGATTTCCTATACTGAGTTACAGAATGAGCTTTGTTTTCAAGGCTCTAAATTTTTTGATAAAAGTCAAGGCAAAGTGAAAAAATGAAAAATTAGCAATTGCTGGATGCCCGCTGGAGCTTTTGTTGTCATCAAGCACCAAATATTTTTGTAGTTAACGTTAGAAATAATATTCTAAGATAGTTCTACGCGATGAAGCTGCTCGCGATGCGTAAGCTTTGCAATGCTCGAAAATTTACTTAAAAATATAACCTATTTCAAAGTTTCAATACAACATAACCCTTTGATAAAGCCCTGATCTGAGAATGCTTGATCTACGCAGAATTTACCATCAACTCTAAATGTTATATCAATCAAGTAATTCAGTTATATTATCTTGTTTCCAGGGAACGTGTGTCCTTCTTCACGAGCCCCAAGGTCAACGTGCCAGCCAACCCAGAGGTTCACTGGGTTTAAATCGAAGAGTGCCATGCCCACGACAAAGCAAAAAAAGGTGAGAACCCCCACGTTTCAGCTACGGAAAGTTGTGGCTGCCTCGACAAGCTGCAGGTTACTTCCTGAAGAAGCCGATCCTGCGGTAAGGGTTATCTTTGGTTAGAGTTTCCACGAGCTCCGGTCTACTCCTGTCTTTGATACCCTTGGAAATGAATGCCTCCAACAATCAAACTTTGACAACATGTTCTTGGATATTCTAAGCCATAGTGTGAAAATGAGGCAGAATTGGAAACGAGTCTTTGGGCACAAGCTCAAAATTCAACTCTCTACTGTTATACAGTTCAAGAAATTAATTGCCTGTTATTCAAACAAGTGCTTTATGATACCAAAAATAATCACGCTGAAGACCGAAGACTGAAAATCGATGCTGAGGACAAACTTTCTATGTTCAATAACTTGACGAAATTTATAATTTAACCCCTTTTGTAAATTCGAATCCGACACCATACATCAGAAGGGGTTGCTTCTAGAATTTGCACATATCCATTACAAGGCCAAGCCAATCCAAACCATGCCAATCCAAATAAAGTGATATGTTGGTTACTTGCCCTAAGAAAAAATCACCTTCACCCAGTAAATATAATATTGGGTCAAACAGTTTTTGTATGAAACACGGTGCGGAGTTTTTGTATGGCATATGATAAGCTAATAAAATATTTAAATTTGATACTAAAAATGCATCACTGAGCTCTAATAACAATCATCATTCCATTTCGAAAAATTTCTGTTTTATTCTGTTCTTAGCTTATCATACGCCATAGTAATCGAAGTAATTCTCTCCCCTCCCCCCCTGAATGCTCGCACACCCTTTAATCCTTCTGTAATTAGTTTGGTCTAAAGCTTATCAAAGGTTTGTAGCCAGCGAAAAACATCTGGATCGGCATTTGCGATGTAAGCTGTTGCTTGAACTCCACACCTCAAATTTCTGTTTAGAGTCGATGCTGCAATATTCACAACCCCTTCTGGTGAATGACGTCATCCTAAGCACATGATCCGAGACGAGATTGCAAGTTGATAATAAGATGTAGATAATTAATTGTAAAGAAAAACCGAAATTGGATTGCGAATGATAATTAAAAAACGTATTTGGCCATTTGATGGAGAATCTGCAGAACTGTTATTATTTTAAGCAGTAGTAATGTTTTATGCAGATGCAAGTCGTGTCTAGGATATCGGGCTTTTCACCGTTTACAAGTAGATAAAAGTATTTTTAGCGTTTTGTTTTATCATTTTTATTATTAGTTTGTATATTCTATAGCAAAATATTATCCTACGATCTCATAGATATATTTTCACAGTCGCTTCAGTAGTTTTCTACTTAATGTCCGATTATCAAACCTTTCTGTAGATGTCAAATTGTGATGTCAGTTGTTGAACGTGTGTGACTTTTTATGCCGGTCAGATTTCTCCAGCCAGCATTCCAAGCTTTCATAGATAATTTTTATTTATCATGAATATGATTTTTGGCCGATATTCTTAGTAGCTGGACTGTAAATATTTACTACCTGAAAATTTTTAGATAAATTTGTTATATTTGTGTAACATTTGCATATTGTTGACCAGCCTAACGAATTTTTTTCATTGTTACTATGCGCCATTCTTAACAATTAAGCCGGATGTCAATTAACCCAGCGAGACCCCATTACTAAATCTGATAGTGTACTGTTTGAATCACTGCATACTGTTTGGATTAATAATATATCTTAATGGAAAAGGACAAGTTTAACTTTGCGTAATTGTCTGTCATTCCTGCATTGTAAAGCGCTAAACGCTGTCCGTCCTGAACTAGCAATTGCCCTAGAGAAAAGGAAGGCTTTGTACTTTGTTACCGTGAAGTCTTTTCGTCTCCAGTGCCCCCATCCGATTTGTAGATGTAAAAGACAAGCAACTACTAACAAGTATTTAACAGTTACCATTTATGGCATTATACTGAAATCTGAGCGGCATGTTCATGTCAATTGTCAAACGACGCTTCGAAAATTGTTGTTTTTGGTGTTTTTGTGTCTTATTTTTGGTACGCGTATTTATTCATAACATTGAATTGGCTGTAAATTGTCTTTTTTGAAACGTTTTTTCTGAACATTGAACAAATGGCCATTGGGTAAAGAGATATCGGAACACATTCCATACTGCTTGATTTATCTTTATGTCTTTTAAGATTTAAGTTTTGGCTATATAAAGAGTTCTCACTAATGTGAAATAATATCTTACAAAGCATCAGTAAGCAACTTTGGCTGGGGGATTATACTGCACAAAGGAACTAGGGCACTAAGGAATGCAAGAAAATGTCGTAGCTATTTGATTTATTTGTTATATGGGGTTCTTAAACAAACACCTTGCTATTGATACTTAACCAAATGTTATGCTTCCCACTATTATCGAAAAGCTGTTCTTTTCATGAACTTGCTCTAGGGATGATTGGCACAGCCTTGGCTGATAATAACTACATCGACATAGCTATTATTGAAAGGATGAAGCTATAATTCATTGAACAGGCGAGTGTATAATAGCACAAATCAGTATGTGAAGGTTGTGAAGGACAAGACAAGACGACAACAAAAAATTCACTGGTATGAAATTAATTGTTTCCGAATTATTCGTTACAAAGGAGCAAATCTTAATGTTAAAAATAAGTTTCATCTGTGTATTGAGACTTTGCCTTTCAATTTGGCGAAGTAAAATGTTCACTGTCGTCTTCAGTAACAACATACAAGAGCTGTCCATTTTCACAAAACGTAAATAAATGAATCGGAAATGTGCACCAATTTGGCCTAGGCCCAATCTTGCGTATCAACTGCTCTTTTCTCACTTCCTCCCGAGCAAATTTGTGTGTCCTTGAAATGAAAGGATATATACATTCTTTGCTAGAACAAATAGGGCATTCGCCTAGCAAAATGTTTTAGTTGAAATGGCAGGGGTGAAGACCGACTCCCGCCATTCAAAAATGTGGTCCACACGGTGCGGATCTATTTCTTCAAAACTTGAAATAGTTCTCTTGCAGCTATTTATAAACTGTTCTCTGGAGTCTTTATATGCCACCGCCGCCTTTATGGTAGCCCATGTCCGATTTTGTCAATAGCATATACTGTCTATGCCGTTTTCTCCTAGAAACAATTAATCTGGCAATGCAATACGTTGCGAGGATACCGACCAGGCCTGATACAACATAAAGAGCTGCTAGAATGAAAAATCTCTTGTTCAAACGCGACTTCCACGAGGAGTACGGCTCCATGTTTATGACCTCAAAAACTACATCACTTCGCGATGAATTTAGGCCATCTGGGCTACTTGATGATCGCGGCATTTCGCTATGAAACTTCTCTGTAACTGTCTTCATCAATAGCGGCGATTCATATTCCGAGTTTGCCTTAACGTCATTTTCAGGAGCTAAAACATTTAAAGCCGACCTGAGATGCGACGAATTCGTTGGTGCTTTGCTGCCCTCGTCCTCCGTTTGTACCTCAACTTGAGATAAAGGTAACTTCGTTTTGTGTGTTGGATTCTGCTTTGATTTCGACGTTTTTGACTTACGGTGTCCCTGATGTTTCGAACATTTTGCAATAACGATTAATAACAAAACAAAGATGAAATGCCGTAATTTCATTTTCAGTCCCCTTACCTCTTCTGCCTATAAGGAACTTGATTGCACCCGAATTTCTGTCCTTATCCGACACTATCCTTTCTCTTTAACATTGACCTTACAATTTTAATAATCAATTCTCTTTGGTGTCCCCATATCTTGATCGAGCTGGTACCAGCGAGCTTACCAAAGTCGCTTGAAAACAAGTCAGCGCGTGACAATTCACATCCAATCTCCTTCGCTGGTTGCTATCACGTGATCTCCATTATGCCCTTATAGAGCCGAGTTTGCTCAAAAGATCAATGGGCCGCGAAAACACGTTGATAGATTAAAGTTTGACGTATATTTTTTTAGCTTTGAAAAAGTGTAAAATTTATTTATCTTAAACCACTGAAATATCAGTTGCATTGTACGCAAAAAAAGCAAATTAAACTAATCACAACTTCACTCATTTTGATCTACATTTGAAATGCACTAAAAGTTGAAAAAGATAAGACATTACTGCTCAAGTTTCAATCTACAAATTACTGCCTCAGTGGTCGAGAATTGGTTCAAAAAGAAATTTGCACAGTGTCGATTATCCACTCAACAACTTTCCAAATTATTTTCAATTTATCGGCTGTTTCTCCTTCGGACAGCTAGGAGCTCACCCATGGAGTTTGGGTGCAAATGTTTGATTTATCTTATATGTCTTTCTTCTCAGATGCGCAATTGCAAATGATAGTTACAACTGTTCACCCCCTCAAATACACTGTCAGCAGGGCGTAAAACGCCAATTATTTTTATATCATTGCTCATAGCTCAAAACCAAAAGCGAAAGTCATTGCTTTGCTTTTGCAAGAGATTTAGGAAAGAAAGTTGACAAAAAGAAAATGTCGAATAACCCACGAAAAAGTTGCGTGGACATCAATGTTGGATTTCAGTTAAATCTCAAATCCATGAATTTGCTACAATTCTCTAATTGAATCAATCTAATTGTGTCTTTTTTAAGAAAATCTTTTCCAATAACTTCATTAAATGTTTATTCTGCAATTCATTTTAACACCACCACCTTCAACCCGGAAATTTGTAGATGTTGCCTGCAAAAAATGTCTTATGTGATTGGATAAAGATATTTCAGCAGATCCGTCCATGGTTATTTTGCAAACGTATCCGATCATTAACGCATTTTAAATTATTTTGGTCGAAAAGATCAATTTTTGCATCTCCGATCTGAAATTCGTTCGTGCCCCAGTTTGAGCAGTTTCCAAGAAGATCATGGAGCTGAAATCTACAGGACTACAGGCTTGAACGGCCGGGGAATGGTAGAAAAATGCAGATTTAACTTAGCAAGAAAGAACGAAAACACTTTCTCCTGAAAAGGGGACAAGTTGATTATAATGCACATGATTATTGTGCACCAAACAGCACAGAAATATTGCAACATGGTATTATTTTCAATCTTTGTACATTTATGTTTATCTATCTATTGGCTAGTCAAAAACCTTGTTCAATAAATAGCTGTTAGCTAACGCGCGCTTCTAGATTTAATCGTAAAAAAGATGAAAGATACTCCTTTATGTTTTGCATTTTTTCTATGCATAGGCGTGAGAGAACTAGGTGCTGAGGGGCTGCAGCTCCCCCAATCCGGCAAAACTTATCGAATACCTATTCAGGCTATTAAACCTCGGTTCAATAATAATAGACATCATACTAAATTCTCTTGACGTTTAGCATCTGCTACGCCAATGATTCTATGCCAATAATTCTATGATTGCAATAACTATGGTTAAGTTAAACAATCTGACTGTTTGTGAACTTGAACAAGTTTGGGTTTGTAAATGTAGGCCCATTCCAATGTTTCAGCTACTTCACACCTGGATATTTCAAAGGGGAGGAGACAAATGATGAAAATCTTAACTTATTCATCATATTCAAGGCAAAGTTATAATGATTATATGCATTAAAATATTTTACAATACCAAAAAAACACGACTGGTAGATGTCTTAATCGTACCCCTTTTAGGTGATAAAACAAAAAAATAATTCTACTCACCGTAAACTTGACAAGTTCAAAGTTACGCCACAAACAAGCCTAATAAACTCGACGCTACGAGCATAACCAAGTTTTGTTGAAGGAAGTTCACGGAAAACACATGCAAAAATCTAGAATTAAGAATTTGATTGAGAAGGAATTATCATGGGGTATTTGATCACGATAATTTTATCTTCGGGGAAAAGTTATTCATAGTTGCACGAAAAGGTCTTCTAGCAAAAGGACACCGACGCAAGTTGCAAGGGGGTCAAGAGCAAATTAAAGTCAACTGATAAAATATCTTTATAAAAAGCTTTTCGTTTTCGAAAAAGTGGGGGCATGCTCTCCCCGATCCCCTATCGTCGGAGGCAATGAAGCAGTTGCCCATGTATTTCCTATTGTCATCATAACAATAGAAGTGAGCTTTGGGAGGAGGGAGTGACTTATATTCAGAGCCTCTCTTTTGCAAACGATGATAAAAGGGTTGACGTGTGGAAAGAAATAAAGCATACTGCTCAACATCTTCAATCTTAGCAAAAATTCTTGCTGGCTTATATTGGGGAAAGGGGGGAACCTAGATTTGACGTCAGTTTCGGTTTTACGATGACAACCGAAAAAGGAAGGGCTCACTAATTAACCTTTTGCACTACTTCATTAAAGCATGGTCTCCAAACATTCAAATATTCTCGAAATAGACTACGGAGAGTAAAATCAATCTCAGTACGTTAATCAAAACCAGAATATCAAAAATAAAATTGAATCTTGGACACATAGATGATGCATATCTTACAAAAATAATCTTTAAAAAACGTGCAGTTTGCAAAAACGTAGCTAAAAATTTCTTCCACAAAACCATTAAGAAGCTAACCAAAGAAGGGTGATAGGTTGGGTATTGTGAAACTATAGGCATGTTACTTATGCTAAGTCTTGCAAGTGTTTCTTAAACGCCAAAAACGCATTACACGTCTTACGTATAAATTACATTGATTTTTTAAAGAAGGCCACAACCTAATCGCCTGTTTAATTAGCAAGAATAAATTAATTATATTGCTTTTAGTATATGTTAAAGAAAACGTGCATTTATTCTATTTATTTGTTGTGTATCTCTAATGGCAAATCACTCTGTTTGTGGAAGAAAACAGATTTACATATTGAGTAGAAATAAATACATAATTACAGTGGCATCAAATAGTTGGTTAGAATTTTATTAAAAAGTGACTCATATGCTCCCAAGTGTAAAAAAATAAATATCTAAAAGTGCGTTGAAATATAAAACTGGACCAGAAAGCTATTGTCCCTGAATCTATAGAATACTTAAACTTCCAAGTATTTATAAAAAATCAAAAAAAATATTTTCATATGATCAAATAAAACAATTTCAATTAATCTTCATTATGAAATATCGGATCATATGATTTGTTGAAATTCACGTTTATCTGCCACAATTATAATTTGGCTTCAATTCCAGGTATTTGTTATAAAGAGAAATATGCTGCAAAGATTTTCCTGTATTGGTAAGCTAAAAAGTTAAATAAGAGCACGCACTTTATGACTCCTTTCACTGAGACTATGATTGCAAACATTCAAAGTAAAAATCCTATTGGTAGCAATATTGAAAGCATTTCTCGAGCGAGAAATTTTTAGGGAAATAGTTTTCAGGTCCTCGAGTAAAAAATGTGGGTATAAAATGTGGGTATAAAATATCAAATTATCAAAGTGCATCAAAAGTCATTTGATAAAAAAGGTATCTAATGACCAGTTAATGTAAAAAATATGTCTAAAACTGGGTATCTTCTCCCTTATATGTGTTAAGAAGTCGGTTGATGAGTTTTTCACTTCTCTTCTCATGAATTCCAGATACACCCTTGAGTGCTCCTTTTACGTACTCATAAACCTCCTTGGTCAGCTGATTGATATAAATAACCTAGAACACAAATAAGATATTGGACAATTTTTTAACATTATCTCAAGTTTTAATAAATGCTATGAGCAAGAATATCATTCTAACTAAAAAGGTGTGAAAACTGAGTAAAAGCAGGGGATAGATTTTTACAATACTTTGGGTTTTACCAAAAAACGCAAAGATGAAAACTGCAAAAATATTTCCTGCATAAAAATTGTTTCTAAACATTTAATAAAAATAACTGTTTATCGATCTGTTTGATGATCGAAAACAGCAAAAAACTGAAACTTGAAACCGGCCTCTTCGATACACCAAGTGTGCTTATGTATTTCAAAACATTTTCAAACTCAAATGTTTGTTCAAATTTTTTATATTTTTATTCAACTTTATTCACACTTTTTCTATAATCTTAACAGCAAATGAAAATATATCCTGTTTTAATGTTTACAAAGCTAAACAAAACACCATTTTATATTTAAATAGCTGAATAAGTATACACTTTTTAGAATCATACAGAACGCCAAAATGTATAATATTTAAGTTCGAATATAAAATCAAATATGAATTAGCAGCAAACAAAAATTCAATATTTAGCGAGTTCCACAAGAAAGTTTCAAGGAAAAATGTGGATCAATTTTAATTTTATAGATTATTCTAAATAAAACTCGAAAGTTAACAATCAAATAACAAGCGATATTATCTGCTTATTTCATCTGCAAAATATTTTCGGAGCTTGGAAAGATAGCAAATCTCCATTTGCCGAAACACACCATAGAAATCATACTGAACAATTTTATATTTGATACTCTGATAAATACATAATGATGGAAACTTTACTAAGTATTTTTCATATGACTAGCCTATTTTCGCAAAATAAAACTTCACAACCAAAGGAATAAAAATACGTTAAGTTGAAATAGACTTAAATCATAATAAAATCAAAATATAAAATCATTGGAAAAAGTTATATTTTATCAGTGTATCATGTTTGATGTAGTATAATATAATATAATATAATATAATATAATATAATATATATAATATATAAATATAATATAATCTAATATAATATAATATAATATTATATAATATAATATAAATATAATATAAATTATTAATATAATATAATATAATATATAATAATAATATATAATAATAATTATAATATAAATAATATAAATTATAATATAATTATATAATATAATAATATAGACTATATACTATATAAATAGAATATATATCATAAATATAATATAATATAATATAATATAATTAATATAATATAATATAATATAAATAATAATAATATAATATATATATATATAAATATAATATAACATAATAAAATATAACATAATATAATATAATATAATATAAAATAAAAAATGTAATAACTTTGTTATTAAACGACAAATACTATATAAAGAGGGACATTCCAGGACACAGCGTCACGTATATTTAACTCATTGGACTCTTGTTTAAAAAATAAAACAGATCTTAATTCTTTACGCAAAGGCCTTTTCAAGACTCTTAAAGAAAAATCCGTTAAGCGACTTAATATTGTATAATTAATCTTAACCATACTTCTTTCAGATAGTTTTGATAATGTTTTAAATCGCTAGCCAGCGTTCTCATTATACGCGGAGGAGATAAGTCACAACTACAAGACAAGGAATAATAACGCATCCCTTCGTTTGACAGTACTGAGAACATCAAGCCTGCCTTGAAGCTGCAAGAAAATCGTTTTTGTTTCAAGGACCTTGCTGTTACAACGATCTTCCCTTGAAGATTCGTTCCTTGAACTCTATCGTACTATTTCAATCAAGCCTGAAGGAGTATTATGTTAAACAGTAATTCCCTGTAAATATAAAAAATTTCTTGTTTAACGATTTCTTGTAAAAAAATTTGTTTTTCTTGTAATTAACTCGACTAGTTTTTACATTGTATTAGGATTACTATCATTATTTTATGACAATTTAGTTTTAACAGGGCCCGTGTTGATAACAGTACTTTCTAGTACTGATAAGGTATTTTTACCCTGTATAAATATGTATATTATTATTATTATTATTATTATTATTATTATTATTAACAGTTTTACTATCAAATATCTTAGCAACTCCCTTGCCACGCGAAAAAACCTATCTAAATGGAACATTACTCAGTCGTCCGATTGCTCTTTTTGCCATATGCCAGAAACGTTACTTCACATTGTTGCAGGCTGCAAAACATACCTCGAAGAAGGCCGTTACACATGGCGCCATAACTCTGCATTGAACTTCCTAGCACAATCTTTAAAAGCTATACCTAATTGCTCTCTTTACGCAGATCTTTCAGGTTATCTCTCACCCTCTATCATAACAGGAGACTCTTTCCGTCCTGATCTACTTCTAGTCACTTCTGACCATCGACTTTTCATACTCGAGCTTACAGTAGGATACGAAACTAACTTGGATGTTAATGCTAACCGCAAAAGAGAGAAATACTCGAATCTCATTCACAGCCTAAGCTCAGCCTATTCCTCTATCATGTTTGTTAATCTTTCTATCAGTTCCCTAGGTATCTTTGGTCTCTCTTGCTCCTCTTTCATCGACATGTGCAACGCTCTAGATATCAGCGAGAATCATCTCCGCTTCATGATCTCCAAACTATCCAGCTTAACTATCCGTACTACCTATTACATTTTCTGCCGCAGAAATAAATCTTGGAATAATCCTGAACTTCTTCAGTTCTAACGATCTCTGCTACTGACGACTTCTAAAACTAACAATGACGAACATACTTTTTCCTCTTTTTTTGTTAATTTCTTTTGTTTGTGCTTGTAATAGTCTTTTTCTTCGTAAACCCAGGCTAGCCAATTGCAAATTACCTTTGTAATAGTGAAATTTGTAATTGTAGTTTTAATTGAATTGAAAATGAAAAGTTTCTATTATTATTATTATTATTATTATTATAACCTCCCAAGGATCTTTATTATCACATCTCTTTAACCAGAATCTTCCACAAATAAACAAACTTTGGTCCAAGGTGCAAAGTAGCATGCCTCAGAATATTTTCAATTTCACCATAAGGTACCTGAACAATACCCTTGCCACACAGAAAAACCTGAAAAAATGGAACTTGAGCCAGACCTCTGACTGTTCTTTCTGTTTTCTGCCAGAAACACTCCTTCATGTTGTTGCTGGCTGCAAAACATATCTGGAACAAGGCCGATACACCTGGCGACATAACTCTATACTAAACTTTCTAGCTACGTCACTAAAAGCTGTCAATGAATCTACCATCTACGCTGATATACCTGGCTTTCTTTCACCATCAATCATAACTGGAGAAAACCTTCGCCCTGATCTTCTCTTGAGGACTAACAACAATTACCTTTACATTTTAGAGCTAACTGTTGGCTTCGAATCCAATCTTAACACAAATGCTACAAGAAAACACAGCAAGTATGCTCCTCTCTTATCTGGTTTACAGCAGCAGTTCAAATGTGTCTCCTTTGTTAATCTTTCTATGAGCTCTCTTGGCATCTTCGGCAATTCCTGCAATTCATTCTTCAAAATGTGTGACTCTCTCTCCATCGATCAGCAACAAAAACAGTATCTCATTTCTAAACTTTCCAACATTGCCATCCGTACTACGTACTACATATTTTGTTGCAAAAATAAGCCATGGACAAATCCGGAATTACATCCTTTTTAACTTTAGTTGTTTTATTTTATTTTATTTTTCTCAGTTTTTCCTTTTACCTTACGATTGTTATAGTTTTTTCTTGTAAAACCAGGCTAGCCAATTGCAAATTACCTTGTAATAGTGAGATTTGTAGTTGTAGTTTAAGTTGAATTGAAAATGAAATGTTTCCATTATTATATGCTATTTTAATTTTTGAAATTAAATTTTCCAGATGTAGAGCCACTATGTGGATAAGCTGGAATGAATCCATTACTATTAGTAGTATTATTATTATTGTATATGACGTTACCATCTTTAAAGTCATAGTTCTCTTATGTTTATGATATTTTCAAAAATTCTAGCATGCGAAAAATGAAAGAACTGGTAGAAATTTTCAGTCCTGAGGGCCTAAGTAGAAAGAAGGAAAACATTTCGCTGTTCTTCTGATTCTATCTTCATCCACGATATGTCCGAAAATTCTCCTTTATAGCAACGGTTCGGCTATCAGCGATAAAATGTCGAGTTCTACTTATAATGACTCCTACGAGCACGATCAAGCTAACGATAAGACTAAATCTGACTTATGGAATCACCACTTTTATACCCTTTACAGAAACTTAAAATAACAGAGCAATGATGCTATTATCACGTGATCTTGTCCGAATGGAAACCCTGTAACAAAAAGCAATTTACCCTGTCTTTAAACTTTGATTTCTTGCGCGTTGGTTTTTAATGTACCCGGCCAATATCGAAACCAAACCTTCGTCTCTTCTTTAACATAAGCAGGCCCTCTTTAAATGTTATAGTTTCTCACATACTTTACATAATAAACAAGAATTAATCTTCTGCCTTCCATGCATCTAATCCCTATATCATACACATTTTAATTTAGTCATAAAACATAACGGCTTTCAAAAGTTAACGATTTTTCTGAGGAGGGTTTGTTTTTCTTATCAATGGATGATTTTGTTGCATTAAATAAAAAAGAAAGAAAACAACTCTAATACGATATAAACTTTTGTAAACACCATTGTTTTATGTTTACACAACAAGAAATATCAATTGCCAAGTCTTAAAACAAATTATGGAAAATTTGTTTCATTCATTCGTGGAACTTCTGTCAAAGAGAGATTGTAGGGCAACGAAAGGGGTGATTAATCTCAGCAAACCAGAACAATCAAGCCTTTGCTACAAAGTAAACGTTCGTAGTTGACAAAAATAGAAACAACAAGCTCTTAATGTAAGTAATCATTGTTACCCTATTTACAAGGAGCGACTATAATGGGATCGGGATTGGGACAAAGATCGCGATAAAGGTCCGAATACAGATCGGAATAACGGTCGGGATAAAGATCGGGATAAGGATAGGTATCGCGATCCTGAAGATCTGTCGCAATCACAGGATCGTGATCCATTTCCCACCATTTGATCCTTTCCAAAGGCAGATAGGGATCGTAATTTTCACCCCGATCCTGTAAAAATTTTCCCTGTAAACGGTCCGGATTTCTTCTCACAAACTTCCATTTCTTGGAATGTCTTCCAATCCAGCATTATGATCGTCTAAAGATTCGAAAGGCCTTTTCGTCGTTTGGAAGGGGGAAAGAATTCGGAGTAAATTCAACAACGGAGAAAGGAAACGACTGTTTAAAATCTTGTTTCAAAGATGTTAAAGGCACCTTCATTTATTAAGGCTCAGAAAATGAGACCGAATGAAGAAATTGTGAATAAAGACATGAAACGTATGCCAGAATAGATCACAACCCTCTTTCAGTTTTGGCCTTATAAACGCAAAACTAAAGTATACACAAATATATCCAGATTGCGATCTCCATCTCGATCCCGTTGCTTTTGCTCAATGTAAACAGGCAAATCTCTTATTATATCATCATGATTCTCGAAAATGGTTGCAGAACGGCATTCAGATTTTTAATGAATAGCTTGAAATGCAATCTATCCATTTGACATCTCCAACATAATCGTTGTCTTTATTGTAAACGTAACTGCCTTATATTCGTTGAAAAATAAGACTTTTAATGTCTGACGCCCAAAGGTGCTTTTAGCAACCAAATTCATGTTTTCATACACTAAAATTAACTCGAAATTCATCTTATATTTAAGCTTTGCTCAAGAAGAAAACACCAAAGTAGCTCTCAAAAATGTTAATTTCGAGCTGGGAATTTTCTCAAGTCCTTTCACTTCGTATGTTTAAAAAACAAGAGCTAGGCTTAGCAATGTAACTTTTTAAAAATGAATAAATCAAACAGGAAATATTTTCAATACAAAAGATAAAAAAATTGAGAATGAAGCAAATTCATTTTATTAAGTTAATGGATTCCTAGTGATCTTGTTTTAAAAGAAACAACATAACCAAGAAAACACAATAGATAAAAAAAACAGTTTATATGAAGCTGTTAGTTAATTTTAGATTTCTATTGCTGTTAGGAAAAGGTTATGAAAACAAAAGTGAGTAAATGAAAATCTTACTTAGTTGTTAACGTAAAGAAAATAATTTTCTTTACATTCTCTTTAAAAATGTTAATAAAATTTATTTTCCCATAGTCAACTAGGTCAGCTTAAATAAAAACATTGAATTTTCTCATGCTTGACTGTTGGTTTTATAGCTCAAAAAGAGCTATGGATACAAGAGAAAACATTTATGAATTTGAAATGACTAACGTATTGTGCATAGTTGGTATTGTTAGATGTTTAATGTTTTAGATTGAAAGCCGGAAATACGTCAATCAACAACAAACAATAGAAAAGAAAAGAACATTGTTATCATAAATACATTGTGTGTTATTTGCTAATTTCTTCCAGTTAATCAATGAACAGGAAGTTCCTTAGCAGCAAGCACGCATAATGAAAAAACTGTTTTTGAAGCGGACGGAAAAAATAGGCCACACGGGAAGGCATTTCTGCATACAAATTTACTTAAATGTTTTCGAAATCTTGTTTTTCACAAGATAGAATAGAAAGATTCTCAATTGCCCTGATAAAATTTTTCCGTTTCATTCGATGCAGTTATTTCCGATAAATTCTTAAGAAAAACTCATAAATTGGAGTCGAAAAACTATTTATAGATATTTTTTTAAACATACGTGACATAGATGATGACACTTGATGACATAGATGATAGCTTTTTGAGTATATTAATGGCTATAAAGCTCTGAAAAGGTATCCTTTTATCGGTAGTTTCTCTGTATTTAGATTAATTAGTATCTCTGTATTTCGACAACTTGCCCTGAAAACGTAGTTTATTATAATGATTCATATATCAAAACAAATTATTACTAATTACTGATTAATGGTAAAGCCCGATCGTCGTTCCACCTAGCAGTTTTGGAATCTATCTACATAAGCACGAAAAAACCGCTACTGTGTAGACAAAAGGCGTTCGTTTTCACCTTAGGACTCCATTGGTAACATTCTCAATAAGCAAGCGGCACTGATTGGTCAACCTCAACAGTCATGTGCTCGTGTTTCTGATTGGCCTATTTCGATCCACAACTGGGTATATATATTTCCTAGCGTAGAGTTTTCGGTCTATGTTCTGACGTTTTAAACTCTGAAGAATGTCAGACGAAAAGCTTTAGTTTACTAAATGTTTGCTTTTTTCAAAGCCATTTTCAAGTTTTGTACCACCAAAAGATTGTTTAAATAATTACTAGGAATCTGGTTTTGTCATCATCAGATAAACCTACAACAGGCATTATAGGATTAATAACACAGAGTCGCGCATTTACACTTTTCGTCCAAGGTTAAAGCTGAAATGTAACTTTTTAAGTTGATTTTCTTAACTATGTTGGCATCTGAAGTGTGTTAAAGACTTTTTAATACAGAATATACTAGGCCACTCTTCTCCAGTGGTAATTGGCAAGCTTAAAATCAAAACATAAGAAAAACATGGTAGTATATTAAGGTATAATTAATCGCAAATCACCTTGCATGATTTATCATCTGCTTCGTTGGGTTTAACCAAAAAACCAGAGCAAAGGTTCTGAAATTGAAACTCTGGTCATGTATTTATAGTTCATCGATAGCAAATAAAGATGAAAGAGAATTGGAAAACATTGTCTAGATCAAAAGAAGTCGTCCGGAAGAAGAAGCTTGTAACAGAAAGATCAACGAATATTTCAGGTGAATAGTCCTTGATGACACAATATCCACTTGATGACACCTTGATGACACTGTTACAAGAATTATCGGCACATGTCTTTTGTAAAACTGTTAGAATACCGAGTAAATATTAATGGATAAAGTAAAAATGATCAACAAAAAATCAAGCAGAAAAGCATATCACAACAAGAAAGCTTTTTTTCTCTGCATTCGATACTATATGCCTAAGGCTTTTCTAAAAGCATCCCAAATCTTTTTCTTCAATGGCATTGGGCAATCTTCTAATCATTGTTCAATATATAAAAACCTAAATATTAGAATGCCCTTTCAGCAAGTACATGTAAATTGGTGCAAGGTTGCTATAAGGTGTTAAAAAGCTTGATTTCTACAAAAATATCAATTTAAAAAAAAATCAACCATGCTTGATACTATTCCTTGGAAGGTGAAGATGCATATTGCGAAAAAACTGCTTTAAATAAAAGAGTGAAGGCATGAAAAAAAGGGAAAGTAAAAAAATAGAGAAATTTAAATAGAGCTTAAATTGCAAAGTTATTGGTTTTATTGACAAACATGTTTCGAAGAAGATAGAGATCAGCATAAAAGAAAACACATACTTCAGCTCGATTATATTCTGGTTTGGGTGGCAACGAGTCAAGAGTTACAGATCGATAAGCAATCGTAAATGGTTCACTGATGAAAAAAAAACGCTTAATCACGAACAGAAAAAATTAACTACAGGACAAAAAGCTCCGCAGTTGCTGTAAAACAGAGGTGAAAAAGTGATAATCGAAGTGAAAATAATTATATTTATGCAAACTAGACATAAAACTCTTGTATCTGTTGTCTTTATCAGAGATAATTTACTTGTTTCTGCTCTCATAATCTTTGATATCCAAGCATGATAAAAAGAGATTAAAAGGAATATGGATGTAACAGTTTGAAAAAAATGTTAATATGAAAGGCAGCCTACACATTTTTCAACAATTTTCGAATTAATTCAGAAAAACAAGTCTTAGCAGCATATTCAGTTCATGTCAAACCAGGGAAACAACTTTAAAGCAAATTTAACGGTACAAGGCTCAAATTTTTTGAAGTGCCAATCAGTGTTTTGATATAAAAGTACTGCAGGCAAGTTTCTAATCTCACTGGAGTCTTTATATTCAACAGTCAATTAGTAAAGAGCTGATACACTTGAGTTATTCATTTTAATCCCAATAACCAAATAATTGATGAGAAAACATAAAAACTTGATTGAAGTAATACTTCCCTTCAAAAAGAAATATCAGAAAAGCAACATTATGTTTTAAGATGCTCTGCAACTCAGTGACTGAGAAATTCTCACAACATAAACGACTGCTTTGAAACATGTACATGAAACTCGATTTTTTGCGTTATTGGACCAAATGAGATATTTAAATCGTACCTCTTCTCGCGTGCTGGTCGTCTTGAAACCAGCATAACGAAATCGTCACTTTTCATTCTTTGTTGTGGGTTGCGATTGTGCATGACGTAGTGCAAAAGTGCGTCACTCCCGTCATCCATCTCTTCAATGACCTCGACATCACTAAAGAGTAATGGTTAAAGGTGGCATCAAAAACGAAAAATTAAGGATTTGATATGTGACAGGTTCCTCAGTTTAGGAAGTCTATTCAAATACTTTAAACAGGCATTACAGCTGCTGTATACTAGGGGAAAAGATAAAGAGCGGCTCACATCGGCTTACATCATAAAAAACGGGTCACATCACTAGGTCCTCTGGAAACAGGTTAAAGGTCACAGATCAGAGGTCACTTATCACAGGTTATAGGTCTTGAAGGGTAGCAGAATAATGGAAAATAGCTTTTGCACATTAAAATTTCTATTGATAATTTGATTGCATTGGAATTTCATACATTGTTCAAGTTTTGTTGACGCTTCTGAAATACTGACAATCGACACTGAATCTACTGCAGGCTATTTTACCTAGATGATTTAGTCCTAAAGATCTTACCTAGATGATTTCGTCCTAAAGATCTAAAGATTTATTGATGACTTTTGTTCCTACAACATTGACCTTTTGCTCTTTAACACACAGCGACATCTAAATGGTTTCAACCATCTGTATGAATTACCTAGGAAGAGCCTTTTCTATCAATATTCTACTCACATCAACATCCCGTCCCATTCACGTCGCTTTTTTTCATCACGAAGATAGCTATATGCATGCGAAGCTGGAACAGCAACCTCAATTTCACCTTTCACGACCAAACACTGTTCCATCACACACTGGAAAAGCTTCAACTAAAACATAAACAAATCCTTTCAATAGAAAAGCTTTAGAATTGCAACCAGTTTTTAATAAAAACGTTTGTAAAAAGGGATGATGACAAACCATCTATATATTAATCATCTATCTCTTCATTATAACACACAGAAAAAGACAGCAGCTGACAACCAGTTCAAATAAGAAAAAGTGCGTCACAATACATCAAAGACTTAGTTTGCAAAGACTTAGTGACACCAAAGTTTTATGGGCGAATAGTTTTGTATCAAAACTACAAGTAAGGTCGAATATTATGAGGACATCGAATGGAGATAAAGAAATATAGATATCTCTACAGTCCGATGCATGAAAAATGAAAAATTCGCAAAAGGAGAAGCAAACTTTGTTGTTGAAAGCATTCCCGAGTTTGATCTTTGAAAGATGAAAAGAAGCGAACGGTATGTGTAGTTATACAGATCAAATGATAGCGTCGATAAATATAGCGCGAAGATAAGCAATAGCTTGATCCTTTATTTCGTGTCTTTATCTTACTAGTCAACTCGACGCATAAAGAAAGATAACTGAGTGCATAATAGCTGAACTAAGGTCATTGTGAGCAACGCTCTGCCTCAGAGGCTACAGAAAGGGTACTCGCGATTTCGCATAGATATTAACAAGCAACAGATTAGCGCTTTTCATTTCTAATTCAAATATCTACTGATGACGTAATCCTTTAGACCTTCGAGCATCTCAAACTAGATAAAATACTTTATATTCTACATCTAATACTCCAGAAATGAAAAGGGCTTTTTATTGTCAGTTATAAATGTTGATCGGTAGAAGAAGAAGAATGAAAACATAGAAGAAGAATGAAAACATAGAAGAAAAATGAAAACATAGAAGAAAAATGAAAACATAGAAGAAAAATGAAAACATAGAAGAAGAATGAAAACATAGAAGAAAAATGAAAACATAGAAGAAAAATGAAAACATAGAAGAAAAATGAAAACATAGAAGAAGAATGAAAACATAGAAGAAAAATGAAAACATAGAAGAAAAATGAAAACATAGAAGAAAAATGAAAACATACTGAACCTTGAAAAGGAAGGAATAAGGTTATTTTCAAAATGGGAGGGGAAAATCGTGGCTTGGAAATCGCCATAAAGAGTCTTTAAACTATTTCTAGCAGCAACTTCTAGTCATCAGAATAGTTAAGATACGATTAGAGCATCACAGCCTGCAATGCCTTTCGCCTGTTCAAGAGAAGAGATGCCAGTTCGGTAGATAGACCTGGATTGAAAAAAGAATTCCTTCACGCTATCTTAGTGCGAGCAGACTAATTATCTGGACATCTAGAAACAAATCCTCTTGAAGTAAATAACGTTAAATGAATAAAAGAAACAACTTCAAATGCTGGTTCTTAAAAGGCAATCATCACTGACAGGCGACGAAAATGATGCGAAGTTTTGAAGTGTAATTTTTCATATAGAGCCAGTTATTTTTCTTTAAGGGAACACTTATTTAGGGGCACCATAAAATACTGCGTTAAGAAACTTTATTATCTATGTTATTTAGAAAACAAATCCAGCATCACATTACATTGAATGATTTGAAGTTCGAGTGGGTGGTGCCTTCTGAGATCTTGCATTGTTTAGTACATAGTGATACTCCAAAACAGTGTCATTTTTTACTAATACGCCTAATCTACTTAAAAGAACACAACATAAAAACTAACCATTTGAGCTTCGCTGAGAAATACAGAGGGGAAGCAACAAACCACTATATCGAATGGGGAAGCAAATGGAAACAAAGACAGTTTTATTTGAATACATTCTGGATACGACAAGGAAAGAACACACCCACTTAAAGTTAACAAACAACTATTGTTAACAAAAATATACTGTAGGATAACCATGCAAAATAAAAGTTGCTAATGACATTGACTGTTTCATTTAAAAACATCGAGAATTCGCATAGAGTTGCCATGCTTACGGATTTGATAAACAAGTTGGAGCGGTGAGAGGATGGTCCCTATCTGCTAATTCTAACGACTATTGTGAACACAAATGTAAACACGGGCATGTTAAGAAGTAGGATTTAATTTAAGTCTTTATTGCTCCTCCCACAACATTTGAATTTCTCCAAAAAAACAAGGTACATGTTAGTGGAAAGATAAGTGAATGTTTCTTGTTGAGTGAATGTTGAGTGAATCTTTCTAATCCTGAACCGATGTTGTTCCTGATGTGGCATGCCCTTATTGTTAAAGATTGGTCCGGTGTAAACGCAAGCCAACAGTGGATAAAATTTGTTCCACCTGATGTAAATAGGCAACGCACAAGTCAAAATTTATCAGGATAAAATTTGTCCGGCGCAGTGAAATTGGGTCTAAGTGAAAAGATTAGCGATCCACCTTGGTAGAAAACGAAAATTCTCTAATCCAGAATTGGGTATTACCCGGTAAAAGATATAAGACAAGATTTCTTTGTATTTTATTTCTTCGACTAGCAATCGTTGCACAGACCTATCATAAAATTAACAGAGGGAAGGGAAACCCTAGTTTTAATTTCATAGCTTCCATTCCAGTTTCAAATTGATCATTTTCATTACAGAGCTGACCTCTCACAACATGCCGGTATCCATCAAAATCGTGGTTTTCAATGCATGGCAAGTGAACATAGCTGAAACTGGTACTTAACTGATAAAAACAATCCTGCCATTTCTCTGGCGCCAAATACACGTACATTTTTATAAGAAACTAAGGTCCGGTGCTGGTAGGCAGTTTCTTAAATTTTCTGGCCATTTTACTATCAAAAGTTTCTGACATGTTTCTTAAATTTCTTAGGTAATGAATTTCTTAGATAAACAAACAAAGCGATCAAGGAATTTTGTTTTTCTAGAATGACTAACTCTGTTGAGATCTGTAAACAGTTAAACTCATTGAACTTCATCAATTTCAAGTTGAAGTGAAAACCAATTTTTAAAATTTTGAGTGTGCAATTTTACTGAGAATGAATGCAAATTGCATATATTGCAAGTGTAATGTTGCAATATACAGCAATGTTCAATGTCAAGAATGTTTCGAGTGTCAACGTGAAAAGTTAAAACTTAAAATTATAAAAGTTTCTTAGCTTTTTCAATTTAGGTAGGGTTGTTTCTTAACTTTTGAAAAATTAAGCCTACCGTTTCTTATAACCTGTTTCTTATAAAAATAAGTGTATATAAATATAGGATCAAACTTTACCCAGTTTTTGTATGGTTACAGTGAATCCCTGCAATAAAAGAACCTACGAATTTAAGAAACTACAGGCTATCTTTCTTTTATAAAAACCTCGATTAAAGAACCTTTATGGCTATGAAATCTGGGTTCTCAGTGTAGCAAGTTTCTTGAAACTTTGCAAGTAATTTAGCACGAACACCTACAATTTTGCAAGTTGTCCAAGGATCATTTGTGATTTTAGTCTGCCTGTTGTGCTACACACCCCTAAGTTTCCGTATTGCTCATTTTTTAACCAATTTGCGCGTCTCACAGAAAAAATTGAATTGAGTTCTGGTTCTTATGTCGCCCTAAATAGGAATATATTTTCCGCTTGTAGGCAAGTGCTTTATCAATATGTTCAGAGAGGATCTATTTACAGTAGTGCCCTTGTGTGGAGTTTTTAATTCGCGTGAAACTAAATCTCTAATAGAGAAAAAAAGTAAGACGTTATGGCATAACTAGAAGTGAGGGGGGGGGGGCAATGGAGCAATGGATATTTTAACAATCTTAACACAAGATTTTACAAATAGCTCTAATGCTTTGCAAAAAAGTGGGGGGGGGGGTCCATGGCTTCCCCCGTCCCTTTGTCGGAGGCCCTGCAGTGCTGAATTAAGCCCTATTTGGGCCTAATGCTTCAGCTCAGAAAGAACCTATCATTGGGCCTGATCAGATTTAGGAAAACTTTTGTCTGTTTTCATCTGGGCATATTTCAGGAATTGACCTAATTCTGCAGCAGCAATAGCACCCGCCTTAATCCGGCCCTGACTAAAGGTATATTCCAAATAAAATATCTTGGTAGAAAAGTCAGAACAAAGATGGATCACTCCTCCGTCAGAGGTCATGGGCAGTTCGATGTTCAAAGTTGCTGCAATAGCATAAAACGCTTA